GTAGCCCGTCGTTTTTTAAGCAACGTTTTCTTGTTGCATTTATCTCGTTGGAAATGAATGGTAGGACAAACAGGATCTTATTATCGCTAGAGTTAGTTAGTTTCCAGTCATCCTAATGTCGTTTCGCTTTTCATTTTTCCACTCCTCATTCTTCATTTAGTGTTGTACTTGGCGCGATTTGATTGAAGACTGTGATCATGGTATTTTCATCCATAAACTGGAGCTATGCCGTCTTTGCAAATGTGGTTCCTTGGAGTTCTAAGGTCAGCCTAGGCGAAGCCTCCCCTACGTCGTCACCGCTACAGGCCTGCCCTTGTGGATTAGAAAAAGATTTGTGACTTTGGGACTAATTTGTTACAGGACAACGGTGATTTGTGGTATTAGACACCTTATACCAACCTCTCATCGGCTCAACAAGATCAGTTCATTACTTATTCACCTTCGAGTGACTCGAGCGGGAGCTACTAAATTTTCCATTATTCCGTGTGGCGTGCAAGAGTAGTCCGGTGGGTTCTGCTCGCTGTAGAGACTCGTTAAGCGTCATACCCTTCTTCTAGGCTTTTCCTGAAGTACTCTTATCATCGGGTTGGTGGTCTTACACCAGTACAGTTGACATTCCGTGGAATCCAGTCACTAACGGCTCCTGTCCATCATTTGTCATTCATACGCCTTACGTGTCCGGCCCACCATATCGTCGACTGTTTGGCGTACAGTACCGCATCTTTGATTTTTGATCGTTGACGCAAGTGGGATCGTCGGATCCCATCCCTTGTGTGGAAGGGCATACTCCTAGCATCGTCCTTTCGACTGCGCGTTCGATAACTCTGAGTGACCTTTCATCTTGCTTACGCAGCGACTAGGTTTCTGGCGCATACGTTAGGGCAGAAAGTACTTTTGAGTCGAAAAGGAGGGCACGGTGTCGGGTGTTCTTTGTTCTCTCCACTACATCCTCGATGCTCTTGAAAGCTCCCCAAGCCACTCGTTTTCTCTTAATAACTCGAAAGACCGACTTTCTATAAACCTCGGCATAGATAGTTGATATAATTATTTATGTGATCTTATAAACTAATCTTCTTGCTCTAGCAATTGTACTCTAGCAATACTTCACTGAGCCTTGTTACCGTGTGGATGTGCTCCATCGTACTAAATCCTCTTCGGAACCATGCTTGCTCACATGGCTGTCCTTCGCCTAGTGCTCTGTCAATCCTGTTTAAGATGACTCGAGTGAAAGGTTTGTAGACGAGAGACAGCAAGCAGATTGGGCGATAGTTGCCGATATCGTGGAAGTCACCGTTCTTGAACAGTAGTGTGGTCTTCCTGGTCATCCACTGAGTTGAGACTTTGCCTTCAGACAGGTAACGTGTGAAGAGCCGAACCAGTGTGTTTACGAGGACTGGAGGAAGGTTCTTCAGGCGTTCGGATCTTATCGTTTCCCAACATGGTGTTGTTCGATTCTTCACCGACGAAGTCGCCTGTCAGACTTCGAAAGGAGGAACCCGTGCTACGACATATCCTTCCTCCTTTACTTTGTATGACGCAGGAGGATGTGGCTATTGAAGACTTCTGAGTATTAGTGAATGATTTTCTCCATTACCTTTCTGGATGCTGTAATTGTTACGTCTGGGCGTTGGAGTGCAATCATCTTGGTTTGTAATTTACGAAGCTTCAGGGGCTTTGCGAACTCTTTTGCCGGCCTCTGTTGACCATTACTCCTGCTCTTCTCTCTTTAAGATCTTTTATCACTTGTCTGCATTGTCTTGCAAGATCGGACGTGAGTTAGCGGTTCCCCACAACTTATGCGATTCCGCGCTGGCGTATCAGCGCGAGTGTTTCTGGAGACAGTAGTGACGTTCGAAGTGACGTGCTCAGCTTTCGAGCGGTAACGTGAAAATGTTGAATGATCCGATCGTATTCCTAATCGATATTATCAAGAACTTTATCTTCTTCACAGCCAAGTGACTATTTGAACAGTTAATTTGTGGATAAGTGCGAACAAGTTTTGGTGGTCTATATCCACATTGGACGCTTCTATTTCCCCTTCTTCATAGCTTAATGTCGGTGCGTGAGCGACGAACATTGTCGAAGTAGGTATTGGGCCATATCTCTTCAATCATAAACGTCCGATTCAGGTTGTTACTAGAATGTATCTCTTTTTTGTACAAGTGCGTTGGGTGTTACGATATATACCTCGTTGCCGCGTATTTTCTAAAAGGTGTTGTTTTATTCCCACTTTTTCTACTGCAATTCGAAGTGGATATTATTTTTCAGTAACTTGTTAGGAGTAGAGGTGAGACGGTTTCAGAGTTTTGGTGATGCATCGTCAGATCGGGAGAATATGACTGCCTCTGACAAGAGCTTCGGGTATCGCAGAGATGTTTCGTCGCCGGAATTTTTAGTGAGTTGATTTGTTTATGTTTTCGCAAACTATTGGAGACGCTTTAAGATATTTGCAAGTGTGTGCATTGGTTTCAATACATATGTGTCTGAAGGTGGTTGCACCGCCCATTCCCATCCACATCCCAGCTCATAACGAAGTCTATTAATTCAAACTATTGTGCCAGGATGGAATTCTGATCTTCTGAAGTCCACGGAACGTTTGTTCCTTTCTCATCTTTTTTTTGTATTTGGAAAATCGAGACAACTGAACAAGTGAGATTTCTTCTTAGCTAAGCTTCTTGCTGTGCCCAAAGGCAATTTGTATATTCGCAGTAGCTGGTGTCACATTAAGACTTTTAAAGGGTAAATAAAGGACAAAGCTCTCGGCGTTGCTCAATTCCTGAGTGTTGAGCCATGCATTCGACTTCATTGAGCATCGTTAAAGGTGATTGAGTGCATGTTTGCCTTTACAATGACTCGCATTTGCCTACCAATGTATCGAGCCAGTGCTATTATCCTTCCACACAAGTGTCGTACCAATTTGCCGACCCCGTAAAGATGGAAAGCTTCGTGAGCCTAGTGTGGGTGTATCGATCCCATTTGTATTGCAGGGCATCTCCAAACACTGCGCTACATTCATTCCTTATTAAAACTTTTAGATGTGTAAACTTCTCCGAATTTTCAAAAACTTAATTTTTGAGGGTTTTATGCTTAGACGAACAGCTCAGAATCATATACACATAGGTTCATACAGTGGACTCTTCTGTAAGTCATGTCTAATGCTTCTATGGGTAAAGTACTTTGGAAAGAATTATTAAATTTGTAGAGAAAGTTTCACCGTAACGAAAGTGTTAGTGGAACTAGTAATGAAATAATAAGACATAGAGTCCTCGACCTTGATCAAATGGTTTTAACTCTTTCGTTCTTCACGGAGGTTTTAGGTCTTTTTTCACCAGAAGGTGAACAAGCAGTTCACCGATTTCGTGGCTTGCTATGCTTAAGTTTTAAACGGATGTTTTTAAGAGGAGAATGCTGGCTCTTCATGAGCAAATCAGAAATTACTACGGATTTGTTCATTGCAACTGAGTTCTTATCTGTTTTCAGATAGGTTTCACTTGCTTGCTACTAGCTGTATTCTTCATGTGTGTTGGGTTGTCACTGAAAACAGAGGTGCACTCAATGCCGACCCAACAGCAAGTTCTTACTTCCGAATTCATGGGTGAGCGCTACATCCCAGTTCTTAATTTGTATGTTTCTATGATGAATTTCTGTAACTGGTACAGTTTAATTCTACACCGCCGTTCCTTAGAAAGAATTCCCACTAATATCAAACGTTTAGCAGCAGACATTCCAGTAACCGAAAAGAATTTAGTTCATTATCTTTTGAAGTCAGTGGTTCATGTCAGATTATAAAGCATGTATCGCTGTGGTAGTGATCAAGTTCATAACGCGAACAACCCATACTACACCGGCTGCTGCTTCGACGCCGCCCTGGACCCGCCAAGCTTTTCATCCTTCGAGGTCAAGAAATTGGTAGAAAACTTGTCTGGGACCAGTTCACTCTCTATAATCTATGTGGGAACGTCCTAGCACCGCTTTCTCAGGATTCCAGGGAGGACTGATTCAACCAGCTTGCAATGACATTATTGACGACGACAAAAAAATCCTCAAAGCAACCGAATTCACACGCGAAACTTTCGAGGATCTTCGTGCATGATGGATGTACAGAAGCGAGCCGAATGCAGAAGTGTTCGGATCTGGATAGTGTGGTGATTTTGATGTTGGGTTATATAATAAAAAATAAAATGAGACAAGTATGACATTAGATTGATTGCAACCTTCTGCAATAGATTTAGATTTTGGGTATTTCTTGTATATCTGATCTAATTGGGTAGTGATATGTGAAGTGCGTTAGAATCGATACTTCGGCTTAGTCATTTGATAGTGACATTTTTTGGCACGACTGGCTGCTGATAGATTTATTTTGATTTGGATACCGTAGCTTCCATTTCACAGTAATCAACAAAAAGTAGGTTTGGACGGTGTTGTAACTGAAGCTAAAATTATGCTTGTTCATGTTTCGCACCGTAAATGTTAGTGGTTAGATTGCAAGAAAAAACTATTCCGGTACCAAAATCAGATGTTCGCGAGTTGTCGCGTAAAAGGTTCAGTTGATCTTGGTGGAACTCGGAAAGAAAACGATTCATTGTGTGTTTCTTTCTGAGTTCATTGCCAACATTGCAATCGTCTATTCCATCCAATTGACTGAGTCCAGATGTTGCTGATTGTTGAACTAAATCGTTCGAAACTAAATACGGTTTGTTTTCTATACCACACTCTCCTTCGTATGTTGAAGCTGAGGCAACTTACAATGGTCATTCTAGAATGAGAAGTCCATACTCACTTCATTACTATCCAGATATTATACCTTCCGGAACGCTTTTTTTCGTGCTGGGAAGAATCTGGAGAAAAGACGCAACTGTCGAAACCGATAGCAAGTTCACGAAGCTATCTATCTCTTGACGACACGAGTTCTAGAGGAATTCACCAGTTTCCTGAGGGTTTGAGGTTGGAAGTATCTGCCATGAGTAACAATGGTGACTAATTTGTTGATTATAACTTAGATCAATAGGTATACCTTTTCTTGGACGGGCCATCTTCACATTTACTGCGCAGATCCCAACACTTCGTACAGTCCATTCGTTTCCCGCATTCCTCATCCACGGAGATCTTCAGACCTTTTCCGTCTCCGTTCGACTCCTGCTTAAGAATTCTCGTCGTCCTTATGAATGTCGTTGAATGCTTGCTCTCCGGAATCGTAGGGTAACCGGCCTAGAGCATTCATTCATGGTTTGTAGGGACTGAACTGTTTCCAGATAGTTGTGTTAGCAATTTTTTGGCCTCGTTGGGATAGTAATGGTGAAGAGCTCGGGATGGGTCGAACCATCATCATGTTCATGATGAATGACATCATTGGATTTAGTAAGAATGTTTTTGTAATGTCGTAGACTTTTTAGTCTACGTAATAGTATATATATATATATATATATATATATATATATATATATATATATATTGTAGCACCACCGTACGTTTCATAGAAAAGAAAAATTTTGTTGAGCTCTATTTTTTTTTCCATTCTCACAATTCCAGCTGTTGACCAATACCATCATTTCTTACTCCGTTTTTCCCAAGTCATGTGGTAAAAAAAATTTTTTTACAGCATGTTTCTGTGATGATTTCGACTACCACTATCTGGACAATGATACCAAGGTGGTCTTGATGGTTGTGGATGCATGGCGACTATCGCATCTTGTCGACCCGCATTCTCCCATGGTATTCCTTCGAGAGGCCGTTCTTTCTGGGCAAGCAGTGGCCTTTGTTGCAAACGTCCAGACACCTACGGTCACCATGCCTCGGATAAAGGTAATTTTTGCAAGGTGCAAAAAAGAAAAAAAAATCGATGGTTAGCTGAGATTCTCTGCATTACTATTCGTTATTGAATGCCTTTGCTGTTTGTTATACGTACGTATAGTCGGACGGCTTGAAGGTTTGAAAAAATAAATCTCTCGGCGCTGATCAATTCTTGAGGGATGCACCATGCATTCAACTTCATTAACAATCTCGCAACGAGTGATACGTACAGTAACGACATTGTGGTTTTGCAGGAGTGGCTGCTAACGCACCTATAGGTCTCATTTTCTTTCCGGTCGTTTATTTTAAAACATGGAGCTGTTTTTCTAAATGTTTCTTTATCAATCGATAGCTGAAGCACAAATGTTGGGGCGTTGTTTGGAAAAAGGTTTTTTCTGCATTCAGAATATGCAAAAATTGTTTCTAAAAGAGTGCACTAGCCAGTAATTCGGGTGCTAATCGACTACTACAATTGAAATTGCTGTAGTGAATAATAGTTATCGCTTAGGGTTTGCTCGTATAAAAAGTACTGAAATAGAGACCCATAAGTTGCAGAACACTTCTATATGGTAACAGTAATGTGTGTTTCTGATGGACCATAGTAAGACGTAGCAAATAACACCATGAATATCATTTACGTTCATGTTCAAAACCCACAAAATTCTGTAGTTACCGAAAAATTCTTGTTTGTTTTCGAAAAATCGAGAAGTTTATAAGAGCTGAGAATTGGCCATCGTACAATCCGCCACAAAACCATAGCAGTCGCGGGAGTACCAAGCATCGCTCGGCGTTGAACAATTCCTGAGAGATGCGCCATGCATTCGACTTCATTAAGCGTTAGAGGTTATTGAATGCACATTTGACCTGTACAATGACTCGCGGTGACCTGTGGGTGTATAAAGTTGGTGCTGCTACCCTTGCAGACAAATCTGATATTGCTGGGCCTGGGGCGTTGGATTGAATCAACGAGGACGTGAGTATTTTAGGGCTCCTGTAACCACTTCGTTAAATGCGCGCTATGTATTCCTTAACGTTAAGAATAAGTGGAGGATTAGCATAGCCCTGAGCAGGTATAATAGTACCATTTCTTAATCCTGGAAGCATTTGTGGGTGTGAAGGCAGCTGATTGATAGGGTAGACGTGAAGTCATTTTAGATAGAGAACCATCCATTTCCGTGTGAGGAGCGTGTATTCTTAGTGCAGTCACAAGCGTTTGTAGCATAACGCTCATTTCGACGCTCCCAGGCACTTCATCCTTTTTCTTCCCAAATTTCTCTGACTGTAACTGCTAGTTTTGTATGTTATTCATGCGGTAAAGTCCCTATAGGAATTTTACTTGCTGAAATGGTGTACCCTCATCCAAAATCCTTGGTGTGCGCGATAGGGTAACTTGCATGAACAGCTTCTAATGTGTACTTCACATGGAAATCGGTTGATAATTGCGAGGATATTTTCTACATTCGTTTTTTGGGAAGCTTATCGTGTGCAAGGTCGTCCACTATTCAAATGTCCTTTCTTTCTCAAGATAAGTTACCACATGGATTGCCAGAAGTGCATTTTGTTCGCAACCTCCAGCTCTTTGACAATCGGCTAGCAGATCTGATCTTGCAGCGGTACCACTCATCAGGTTCTTGATTGCAGCTCGGATTTCGGAGGGAAGAATCTCGAGTAGTTTCTCCATAGTAGGATTCTGGAGTCTGAAACAACGGATGGTGCAGTTTTCCATTATCAACTTCAAATCATGACGTCTGTCGTTAGTAATCTCATTCTCATTTATCAATTATCTTTCATCTTCTAGAAACTCAATGATGGTTGGTGAAATGCAGTCCGATGTTTTATATTGAAGAAATGAGACGTATTTGGCACAGCATTGAAGTATTCTGGCGAGCAGCTCGTAGTTCTTGATTTATATTTTATTCTTGGAGCATTTTTTCTAGAATGTCCCCATCATAAATCGCTTATCTCTCACTTCGTGGCAATCAGTTTTTTCCCAGAACCGCTTAGTAGGGTCTTTGATCGAGAAGACGATCGGTTCCACTACAAAATCGTCGCACTACAGATGTGTCACAGAAGCAGCATGATCCGTTTGTGAAGATATGGTCTATATCAGCATTAGTCATGACATTAGGGAATTCAATAGCCAGTGTTTTTTCCGAGGAACGAAATTCAATGAAGGTATATGTTATAGAGCGCAGTCCAGAATAACGGTTTTCACTTTCATTTTGGGCTTCTATTCCAAAATTTGCAGCTATCCTTTTTCCTTTCCATTGGCCCTTCCTAATCTGTTGTAGACGTCCCAGACAAGAAGTTTACGAAACGATTTTCCGTAGCGGACTAGCTGCTCAGGTCAGAGAGAAAATGGTGATATTGATAATTTGGGTCGTGGAGGCGTGGTAGCAGTAACTCGTATGACTCGTAACAATCCGAGCTGACGAGATTGACAGCTGAGAAGTGAATGAAAAATTCCAAATTTATCTTACTTTGTTTGATATGACTTAACCCTGATGAAGAGCGTGGTTATTAAGTTACGGAACACTACGATGGTAATGTATGTGTAGAGCGAGAAACGATTTCCAGTACTTGTCATAGTCGTATTGTCTGTCATCGCCATCTCATCAGTTTGCGTTAGAGATGCGAGTGTCCAATGTGAAAGGTACTTAGGCTGATTTCTTGTTAGTCGAAGAATTAGTTGTTTGCTGGGAATTAGCCTTGTTAAGGTTTTCTGGCTACCAACTTAGGCAGTCACTGGTCCACGTGCATCGGAAGGGAATTTTGTGCCTGCGGATGTAGTTAGTTGGCCAGCTAATCCATTCGAATTTAGAGTGGAGAAACTGCTAGAAGAAGGTGTAATAAAGAAGGATTATTTGACATGAGCTGTTTGTGAAACCAAAGGGATGTCATCACTTAGAGGTTCTTCTGGTTTATCTCAACTTGTTCTTAATATAAGAAGTTGCTTATGAATTTTGCTATGCGATCGTTGTTTTCTAGGCGATGACAAGTGGTGTGGTTCCGACACTTATTTCATTGGTAACAAATTTCTTCGCTACGGAAAATGTGGAGGAAAATTGGGTGAATTCAGCAGCAGCAGCTGGACGTAGGTATGTTCTTTGTCATGGATTTTCTAGTCGTTTATAAATGGATTGGTAAATGCAAAAAAAGTACGTAAGTTTTGAGCAACTGTGGCGTTATAAAGCGCCGCTTTTTAACGTTCTTCTGAAGACTAATCTGAATATTTGGATGTTGTGTATTCACGAACATTAGAGACCCATGTATTGTTTTTATCAGAATGGTAGTTCGTTAGTTTGGCATGGTTTTTCTCATAGCGAGCTTTCGCTGCCGGTGCCTTGGTTTCGCGGTTCATTCTTTATAAAGAATTGCCAAATTTTACGGACCGGGGAGAATTTAGCACCTTACGAACAGACCTTTTCCAGGATGCTTGAAATCTTTGCATAAGTTGGCTCTTAACTGAGCTTCCACATGGAAACGTTAACCTCCTTAGTTTGTGTAACTGTACCTCTAGAGGAATTCATTTAAAAGCCACTGTTTAGTCCTTCCAGTGCCCACGTGTGTAGGTGATGCTGTAGTATTGTTGGATCCTAGTGCAGGGCCTTTTGAAATTTAAGAGGACAATTTCCTGAAAAGTTTGGAATGTTTGTGATTTTCTTATGTTTTCAATTCATCTAGGGTAATCTTCTTCGGCGACGATACCTGGCTACGGCTTTTTCCTAAAGCATTTGATGAAGCGGAAGGAGTAACATCGTTCTTTGTGAATGATTACACCGAAGTATTTTCATTAAACATCCTTTCATTTTAGAATATGTTAACTGAAATGATTGCATTAAGGTCGATAACAATGTCACCCGCCATCTCAATGTTGTTCTAACAACTAATGACTGGGACTTGCTCATACTGCACTATCTTGGTTTGGACCATGTAGGTATGCGACCGTTTATCTTTTTTTTTCTTTGTATTTCTTCGCATTTATTACGGAATTATGAAAGTGTTGGCATAATCATCCACTTTCGATAACGTCGTAGAATTCGACGGGAAGATGAATCTTTCGTATTCAATGATTTTGAACTCTTTAAGCTGCTCGGAAAATTAAAATTGCCACAGAGTTATGTCGCATAACGTTGCGGGTGCACTTCCACTAGCAGCAAGTCGACCATTTTTCTCCGAATCACTGAATAGATAATGATGAAGGCCATCGGATTTTGTTCTGTACTTAAGGACACTCGCTTGGAGGTGAATCAGTGGAAATAGGGCGAAAACTCTATGAAATGGATAACATTGCACGTCGGATTTTTCGCACCGTGTCGGTACGACGTTGCTTTTCTTTTCTTAAGTTTTAGCCAATGGAGCTAATTATATTACCTTTTTTCCTTCAACGCTCCGTGTTCTGCAAATTGCAGTTTATTCTGGTGTTTTCGGGGTTTCTATGAAGTATTCTGACTATTGGGCGACATCCTATTCGCTTAATTTCTGATGAACTCTAATCCACTGTGATGCTTGGGTTTCCTTACCAACACACAACGTGTCTGATCTTCAAACTCATTTTTTCCATTGTGATTTACTCACTGGTTTCGTGTTAGGAGATTGCTGTTCGGTTGAGCAGTGATCCGTCTCGGCAAAAATTTCAGTCTCTACCTGATAGTAGGAGAAGATATCGATAGGTTTTGACCACAAAACTGAGCCCACTTCGGATCCCAGAGCACTTCGACACTTCACGGACGAAATACGAGAGCATCTCGTTGTTTTGATGAAAGAAAAAAGGAGCTATTTATTAATTTTGAGTGGGATAGACTTACTAGTTTTCACTTGAGGGAAAAAAAAATTTTTCATTTTATAAATTACAGTGTGTTCACGTTTTTTTCACTGCCTATTCTTTTTTCACAGCAGGATGTAATGTCAAATAGAAGCACAGTAATGCTGAGATATTTGCAAAGCTCCACACCGCAAGTGTCTGCTGTGGGAATTGAACCCTCTACTATCCTTTTTGAATGTTAACCTGTTCCCACGACCGACTTTCTGTTAACTTCGGCATTGATTGATAATTCGATGTTTTTCTTCAATAAGCATACACGAGGTTGTTATTATAAGTTTTATTAGGATACAATAGCTGACATTTCGGCGGTTTCACCTTTTTCGGAGCCGTTTATTTGTTGGACGGTAACTGTGTCGTTCCTGTTCACCACCACACAATACTGTAACTGGGTTCAGTGCTGATTTGTGTTCCCAAGATCAGTGCCGTTGACGTTCGGTTGCTGATAGCGCCTATAGGTTAAAACACGATAGAGAGGAAGGCGAATCGAAGGACCAGTAGTTTGTGGTGGTGCACACATTAGCTTTCGGAAAGGGCATTAGGGGATTCAATCCCCACAGCAGACACCTGCGGTGCGAAGTTTTGGTTATATCTTAGTATCATCGTGGTTACATTACCGTTTTAATTGTGTGATTGGGAAAGTTGACTTAGAATAACTATTTCTTGTTAGTTAGCTTAGGTTTGTATTGTTCCGTTTTTTTTTGAAACTTCTGTCCGTACTTTTTTCATGGACATTGAAATTTCGATCACTTGTTGATCGTTGTCTATTTCACACAGCGGATCCTCGTTTCTTACGCGCTTCTTCCCAGTTATTTAGAGCTGTTTGTGATCCTACCATCCTATGGGATCGCCTCTGCTCTGATAAAAACTCGAAGTAAAGAAAGATAGCCTTAGAGAGTCAGATGCTCTAACCACATAATCTTTTTTGAAGTAGAAGTTACACCGAGGCGTTTATTTTATAAATTTCAATTAATTTTTACAGTTTTCGCCTTTTATAGGAAACAATTTCAAGAAATGGTCAGCAATGAATAAGAGAGCCAATTTCTAACTCAGTTCAAAATATCCCCATCTTTTATTATTATAGTTCGTCTGTTAAAACAGTGAGATATTTCTAGGCCCGATCACCACTGCTATTCGTTATGGTAGGCGATCATGGTATGACGAACGCTGGATCTCATGGAGGTGGAAGTGAAGCAGAATCTCGAGTTCCATTGCTGTTTTTCCATTCAAAAGCAACGACTATTCAAGGTGGAGACTTGAGTGGTAAGTTAACATCCGCACACAACATTTTTGATGAAAATCATTTTCATATGAACGTTGGACACTTTTCAAACTTCAGTGTAAGCCTTTCTGTTGTTTATCTCTTATGGTAACTTCCAGAACTTCCATATGCAGAACAAATTGATCTGGCCAGTACGCTTCCGTTTTTTCTTCGCACTAGTATACCGTCGGGTAGCATCGGTCTTTCGCTTGTTCCATATCTTGCCGAACACTGGAAGTTTCCTGAACCTGTCATTTTTTCTGCACTTGTCCATTCGACCAATCATTTCTCCAAATTTGCCGACGGTAAGTAAAAAAATTGATGCGCTGACCCATCTTTAGTTCATATTGTTTTTCCAAAAACAGTTTTTTTCTAGATTACGCTTTAAGTCGTCTCATGAATGCTGAAGAAGGCGAACGTTGTCAAGCGGCAAAGGTTTTTCTGACTAATGCAAGAAGCCCATCTACTTTGGAACGAAACCGAGAAGTGCAACGTAAGATTATTCAGTTAGAGGAACAAATTCTTCATTGGCCTATTTTCGTCGGGCTGGTTTTAGCTATTTTTGTGAGTTGAAATCGTCTGTTTTATTTATAATTCTGTAAGGGAGAATAACCTAACGTTGCAATTGAATTCCTTCAGTTTACCGCAACTTTGAGTTTCTATGATTTGTTCTTTAGACTTTCTTGATATTTTCTGGTCTACATCCGTTCCACAATCGCGCTAAATCGGTAAGAACTGGTAAGTTTGATTTTCTATTAGGTTATGGATATTGTTCACCTTTAACACATTTGCGACAGAGGGGCTTGACGTCTATGGGTAGTTTTTGGATATCTAGAACATTTGAGCTGAGACGCCTCTTAATAATTCCCACGACGTACTTTCTATTAATCTCGGCATTGATCAGGTAATTATTTATATTCTTGTTGAGCAAACGAGGGGTGTTGTTTTATTCCTTATTTACGCACAAGCCGACGTTTCGGCAGATTTTGCCTTCAGAGCCTGGAATAGTCAAGCTGACAGCAATCTACCCGGCCAAACACCTCCGTAACCAAAAACAGAAAACACTAAACCAAGATTTCAATCACATTGAACACAGAATGGCTTCGTCACATACTCATCGATTTCAATGAGCCTTCTAGTGAATATGTCACGTGGACACCAAACGCACAGAGTTTACATGGAAGCGTAACGTGCCTCTCACACAAAATAGCAGTTTTAAACACTGCCTGATATCACGCGTGATAATGAGGCATTCCCGTCACTTTATCGCCCATCTTCTGAGAAGGAGTTTAAGAGTAAATACCGAAGTTTGAATCAAGAATAGGTCAAAATGGCAAGGGCTGCTGGTTTAAAACCATCAGTTATCTCTCAACTAAAATTGACTTACCGACATCTCACGTCTTGTACTTGCTTATAAAAACTCATAAGTTAGTATCCATCGATGATCTTCCATCTACCGATCGATCATTGTTTAAGGTTAGACCTATCATTAGCTGTGTAGACGGGCCAATGGATAGGATGAAATGGTTTTTAACACTAATATTAAACCAGTTGTTGAAACACATTCCAGCCCATCTTACGAATACCCAAATGTTTCTGGATCGTTTACGTACTGCGCAGCCCAGCAGCGCGTACTTGATGGAGTCCTTCGACGTTACCGCTCTTTATACAAACGTGTCGAATGACTCCGCAATGCAAACCATATTCGAACTCCTTACACAACACGAATGAGAATTAAACATGTATGGCTTTAAGATAGAGCACTTGATAAGAGAATGCTTGAGCTGCTCAATCTTCAGATGGTCCGGAAAGTACCACGCTCAAATAAGAGGGTTGGCAATGGGACAACGACTGGCACCAAGTTTTACCATTACGTTTATGTCTAAGGTGGAAGCACCAGTGACCGATCTCAGACCGTTACTCTACTGTAGATATATAGATTACTGTTTTGTCCTTTGCTCAACACAAGAGGAAATGGACAAATGTTTCGAGTTGTTGAACGGGCAGTCAGAGTATATCATGTTCGCCGGAGGGAAACCGAGAGGAAATTGGCTTCCATTCCTGAACGTCTAAATTCACCTATGAGAAAATGGCTACATTACAAAGTGGTACTGTGAACCAAGTGGTAAAAACATCTTGGTTCATTACCTCTCCTCTCACCCCTATCACACGAAAAGGACGCTTGTAAGAAACATGTTTCGAACAGCAACCAACGTGTGCACGGGAGGAGAGCAGAGAGAGGAGTCCCGGAACTTGGCACGGCAAATAACCGTTTCTAATGGCTACGAAACCGTAGCTCGGGATAGGTGTAGAGGAAATCCTAGGTCCCCAAACGACAACTCTAGCGATGGAAAGGTCCCGTTTATCCTACACTTCATCTCAAATGATGTAAGTGCAGCTATAAAACGCTGCTTAAGAAGGGCCGGTCTAAAGACTTCGGTAAATGTAGTTGAAATACCACCGAGTGATCATAGGCGCCAGCTAGTTCGTAACCGCCTATATGACCGTCTATGTGCAATGCAGAATTGCATGATTTGCCCCAACGGTAGAGACGATGCTTACCTGAGTTCGAGTACAGTTTAACTTATCTCTTGTAAAACGTGCTGAGACGAATACATTGGCGAAATGGGTAGACTACTCTGCGTCCGTATATAAGAACACCTGGTTGGTAAACTTAAAGTTAAACCAAGTACGCTACTGGGCACGCATAGGACACAGAGACATAACGTGGAAAGTTTTGAAGTAGAACTGAGGATCCTCGCATAGGGGTCGAAAACAAGTGCGCAAAATTCTTGAGCCATTCTGGATTAATTCCAAGAATCCGAAAATGAACCGCAGTGTGGAGTGCCTCATTGTCACACTTGATATCGGGCAGTTTTTAAGACTGCTGTTTTGATGCGAGAAGCACATTACGCTTCCATGTAAACTCTGTGCGGTTGGTTTCTACATGACATATTCAGTGGAAGACTCATTGAAAGCGGTGAGTATGCGATGAAGCCATTCTCTGTTCAATATGATTGAAATCTTGGTTTAGCGTTTTCTGTCTTTGGTTATGGAGGTATTTGGCCGGGTAGATTGCTGTCAACTTAACCATTCCAGGTTCGGAAGAAGGCGAAATCCGCCGAAACGTCGGCTTGTGCGTAAATAAAGAATAAAATAGCACCTGGAGTTTTCTCAACAAGAATATGAGGAATTTGAGCTGAGAATTTGACATTCTTGTGGAAAATATTCCACTCCATCGATTTAAGGGTATGTACAGCTTTTGAAAGATATTCTTTTGACTCACAACCTGTTGAAGGCACCACTCGCTAAATTGTGGAAGGAAAAGTTCAGGCCTTTGAAAATTTTTTTTTATGAATGAACGGCAACGGCAAACCTCAATAATGCGTTCAATGAAATCATCTGCATCTTTTGTTAGATGTTTTGCTCGTTTTTTTAGTCTTTTTTCAGGCGAGAGTATAAGCTTGATAGGAAAGCCCAATAAGAGCTCTGAATGGGAAGACTTATATGTTATTTGCAAGAGTTTAAAGATTTTGGCGATTTTTATTCCCATTAATCCGTTGTGTGTCTAAAGTGGAAAAGCTAACTTATTTTCGTTAACCTACGCATCCAAATCAATGCACATTGTCGCAAATGTGTTAACGAGCGTTTTATATATCACGTTTAAGATTTTCTGAAAAGAAGTGCTGAACCAATTCGATATCGTCGAAGAGCAATTTAGGAGCTCTCCACTACTCTACCTTTCTTATTTTTGGTTTGTATCACATATCATCCTACTCCACAAGTTTCATTGAAGAGGAGCACGATATTTGGTGTGTTTTTAACAAGTAGAGGATTTATCTTATTTATTTATTTACGTGACCTATTAATACATCTGCTGTGTGGATCCGAGCACTTCTTGTGTTCTGGTCGTTTTCCTCGCATTCATTGTCCACGAAGGTCTTTCGAAATTTCGCGTCTGGATTCGGCTGCTGCTTGAGGATTTCGTCTGCTTTATGAATGCCGTAGGTTGCTGGTGGATCCATTCCTCCTCGCAAATTTGGGATAGCAGAGCTAGGATATTACCACATAGTTTGGAGAAGAGCGTTGCACAGAAGAACCAACCAGCGCCTTGTATCGTGATGGACGCCATCGCTAATGATCCCACATTCTTCCGTACCTTCTCCGCAGTTAAAGATGAAATCTTTGATTAGAATTGTTGATAATAATATCGTCTTTCGCAAGAGTAGATAGAATCGTCATTTTTCTAGCCACTGTGAAATTATTCTAGGTATTACACTACATCAACGACAATTTTGCTCAGGATACTCGCGAGGGTGAAGTGCCCTTTAGGATCGAGGAATTTTTTAAAAATGGTTAGTGGTTTCGCATTCTTTCGCCCGATATTGTTGTGCTTCAAGCAATCAAAATAATCTCACTCTAGAATTCAAACATGATTAGGAAACTTGAAGCCAAATATTACTTGGATTCTACTGCAAGAAATCCACGTACTCGTCGTGATAGACGGTCCTGATCATCGTCTTTACACGGAAATTTTCCATACTTCTGCTGTCCTTTTCACTGGAGGCAGGAGCTGACAATTCTTTTATTTTCCGTTCGACCCATCTTCGCATTCACTGTTCGGATCCTATCACTTATTGCATTCGATCCTTCCCTGCCTACATCATCACGAAGCTCTTCCAACTTTTGCATGTGGATTCAGCTGCTGCTTGGAGATTTTCTTTTCGTCATGAATGTTATTAAATGCAAGTCGAAACGATGCTCTCTGAAGTCCTGTGATACCTGGGCCAGAACGTTCCCATTTGGACTGAAAAGAGTTAATTCATTCCAGACACATCTGATAGAAATTTGCCCACTTCGGATTCACCTGATGAAAGGCATGGTGAGCCTGAGGTAGGGCTGAGCAGGCACCCTGTTCTTGATTAACGACGTACTGCCATTGCACTATCTGAACTTGCGGATTAAATTGAAGCTGTCAAGATTGTACGCTATAAATAGCATTTGAATAAAGGTCACTTCTTTGGTGCTGCAGTTAACGTCCTCAGACTTCGACTACTCAATGTTTGCAAGGAATATTTACTTACTAATAGCAATGGAAGCGTGGTCAAATAATGTACACAGAAGTTCTTTCTCTTTTTTTTGCGCGTACAAATTAGCAATGATTCAAGGGGCTTGGATGGAGAAGTTCATCTACAATCTAATTTCTGATTTCCAAGGTTAACCGACATGGATTTCATTTTAACGTTTTTCTTTTACATAGTCTGCTCACTAGACTTCTAAATTCTCTTTTAGTTTGACACTGAGTCGGAAGTGAGAGGCGAATTTTATCTGCTGTGTTTGCATCGACTAGCGATAAGCTTTACAATGTCATCCAGAAGAAGATGGTCCTTGAGATCCGGTAGACATTTTATATTCAAGATATTGGTGGTATAGAGTTTATAATGTTTCAGATTTGCTTCCACCACCAATAATTCCTGAACTTCGAATTGAAATCCCAGTCTTGGACACCATTTTTACGGATATCAATCTCTTAGTGCTGTGTAAACGGTTGCGATCACAGTTAACGAGTCTGTTTCTTCTTCACAATTTACTTAAGCTTTTTCAGCTGGCACATCATTACTACTACACTTTGTACAATCTTTCTTGGTTGGCGTTTTCAATCCATGAGCACCAAATTTGGACGACTGGCAGTAATTCCATACTTTCTTTCAATGGTTATTTGCTGCAGTCGTCTAGTTAATGACCAAAATGGGTAAGAACATCTAATTGTACTCTGAGTGTGGTGAGTTTTTTCTTCATCCTCATGTCTCCCTTCTTGATTTCTAAAATTATGCCACCTTTAACACTTTTTAGTAACCAGATATACCGCATTCAATTTACGCTTTAGACCTCACGAATATGCTCAGAAGTTATCTAAGGAAAAAATCTATTTTTCTGAGAATCCATTTTCCTGAGAGGATTATTTTGAGAGCACGAAACATGTATTATTTCTTTGCAAGCTTACACGAGGTTTGTAAACAATTTTTCATTCGGCTAACGTTTTGGCGTCGTCTTCATCAATGCCGACGATCGGAGTCGATAGTCCATGATTCTTCTTCGCCTCAATGTGACGTCTTCCAAGCTCGTATAAGCTTTGCAAGCAAAGAATACATGTTGGTCAGTAAGACTGAGGTTAAAGGAAAGTCGGTTTTTAAATATGGTTGTTGGTCTTAGCCAGAGACATCTCCTACTTTTTAGATGGATGATTTATCTCGTCGTTAGTGGAAGCATGCTTACTGCAACACTATCTTTTCCATTTGGAGTTCTGCTGTATCTGTTTTACTTGGTTCGACCAGAGACTCTTCCCCTACTTTTGATCTGCTTCGAGATGGGCACGTTGGCGAGTCGAGCGTTCTACTCACCGGCCTTGTTCACATTCCTTTGCCAGACAGTCTTCTTTTACCCGGTTTGTCTTTTGTATTGCTAAAGATTGAGGGGTGTAGGAGCTTTCCTTAACTGTTCTTCATATCTTTTTTAATCCTTGTTGATGACACAAGATGCTTGTAGTAATATGAAGAAAATTCTAGAAGCAGGCCCATAGACATAGCTCTTGTTCCATGGTTTTAGGCTAGAAGAGATTTCGCACTTATCGCAAAAATCTCACCAGTACCATCTCAAATCTTTACTTTATAAAGGGCTGTTTATTAAAGGGTCAGTCTAGCAATATCTCCTCGATCGATATCGCTGTTGGATACAAAGGTTTATCGTCATACTCTGCTGCTTTTGTGTTGTTTCAAATTCTGGGCAACTTCTACGCAACTCCTACTGCTCTAATTTCAGGTTACTTGTGAGTTCCTTATTGCCGTCAATTATTCTGCAAGGAACAGAAGTGTTTGCAGATTGAGAGCTCTTCAGATTACGTTGACTATAATTCAGATACTACAACGACGACAAGCAGTCCAGAGAGGAGTTGATGTACGGTCATCTTCTGTCGGCGACTTTACATCTGCGATCTGTACTGCTGTGTTCCGCTATCACTGGAATGATTAGCCTTTCTGGTCACTTGTTTATTTTTAGTGTCATGGCCCCGAAGTTACTTTGTGAAGTCCTTCATACTGCTGTTACTTTGATTGTTACGGGTTCCATTTTCTTTTTATGTATTCTATTTGAAAAGATTACCATACATAAAACGTTAAGATTTTTTTTCGACGCTAACAATAAGTTTGAACAGTTTTATTTAGGCTGATTACTTGTCGTTCCTTTAAAGTAGTCCCACTTTTTCATCACATGCCAATTGTTCATAATTTAAGGAGTTACTAAAGCACAATGTGTAAATTCAAAGCTCTTCTCATAAAGAATTTACCACCTGGTCAGTCCCCCTACCCTCACCACCACAAAAAAGGATTTGTTAGTAGAGTGTTTAACATATATTATACAACATATCGTTTAAATTAGATGCAAAAGATTGTAGTTAAACAGCGGAAAGATAAAGTACATTAAGAAGTAACGGTATATCTACAAAAGTCCCTGTCTTTTGAGATCCTCATACATTTTCTTGTTTACTACATTTCCTGATGTATCTTCATATTCCTCATCCAGATCAGGATTCCATTTCTGCCTCTCCTGTAAGTGCAAACTTCAAATATTTATTTCAATTGTTAGCTGTTAATATCCGAAAACAATTTAGTACAAGCAGAAAAACGCGGTATATCCCTAAGGATTCCGCAAAGAGGACCTCAACAAGCAAAATATCGATCAGAGCGGCGTAATACTGGTAGATGCACGATTCGCCGTGAAGTTATTTCACAAAAAAATTTAATACCGTAGTATTCCCTTACTAATTTCCAATTCAACTGTCACAGTCAAACAAATCGGAAGTTAGTAAAAACTTTATTTCAAGAGGTTAGTAACTAGTACGGGTTAGCTAGTAAATTCGTAAGTTGCTATTCCAGTAGAATCCTAGATCTACAAGTACGTAATATAAGAATACGGCAGCTGGAAACGATTGTGAATATGCTATGCTCACCTTTTCCCCTTTGATTTTATTCCATAAATCCAGTGCATCTTTAATTTGTGTAATATTTGCGAAATGAGCCGTGTTTGGAATACCAAGACAACGCATTCCATGAGAATGTCGCCATTCCTATATAGAACAGATTATAACATATCGTACTGCAATAATCTTTCCCACTAAAAACATTTCTTGAATATGGTAGGTAGGACATACCAGGGCCTCAGCCATTAGGAATAGAACTCAACACAACAATTGATCCAAGCATTCCTGAGTTGAGAAACTCACGTTGAAGTGTTTTTGAAAAGCCTTTGGTCCCTTATACACTTGGTTTCCGCATATTTCACACGAGTACGATATATTGAGTCCATGCAGCTTGTACAACCAGTAAGGAATTGGCTTGCCGTCCCACCTAAAGTGGACGAAGTAGTTAACTAACTATGAATTAAATAAGTATAGTGCCGCAGTAACAATTACAAACAATGTTTTGAGAAACTTGACGTCAAACATACCCTAATGGAAGGTTTTTTGGATTGTACGGAACACCACTATCTTCTTCGTCATCACTCTCAACCTAAAACGCAGCGTATTGCTGTGCCGAAAGCAGTGCGTTTTCGACAGTACTAACACATTCACGACAAACACATTGACTAATGCATGGAAGCAGGAATAATTTTGCCTTTCAGATACGAAAGAAAGCACCTTTGTTTATGGTGAACCTTCATAGACAATGTAAAATCGTTAAAACCTATCGATTTTGACAATGCGAGTTATTTAATTCTAGGATGAAATTCTTATTTTTGATAATCCATGAACTTTTTTTCGCTTTTTTCCTCGAAACTTCCAATGGCGAAAGAAATGAAGAGAGATTTCGCCCATAAGGAGATGATGGTTTATTCCGCCGATGTTAAAAATTGTAAAATCCTTATTCCCTAATATTCCCTGGAATTTCAATTTGAAAAAGCTGAAATAAGAAAAATAGCCTAAAAGAACTACGTGCATACTTCTAGAACGATAAGGCAATGTCTCTTCTAAAAGTTCTTTGAGTACCCACGTATTGTCCAGTTATATTAAGTCTAGCTATTGAGAAAAAAAGAGAACTAACATTGTCGCAAATGTGTTAACTGTATAAAACATATTTACACATACTTGAGGTTCTTCATCGTCATCTTCATTTTCACCAACAGTTCTTGCTTGTTTCCTCTCCACATTTTCACGCGTTGCATCCCTCTCCTCGCTTAGAACACTGCCCATACTGAATTCAAAACCATACTGGAGTTGAGACAAGGTGTCCTCGTTTATAACAGAAATGAATAAAACTTAAAATTAATAGGAAACAATAAAAACCTCTACAATGTGAACACCATAAGCAACATGAATACACAAATACAGAAGTAATCCCAACTAACTAACCACTTTATGTGACCTTCCAACATAGCTAAACTTAGGATTCTAGTTTGCTCTTTCGAATTATCAGCTTTCTTAGCTAAGGCGTCTCTTCCTATTTCGCCAGCTCTCACGCCCTTTGAAGCAAAGAGACGTTCAGCGCGTTCCTTCAGGGTACTGAAAACACGTAGTACATAGTTCGGTGCTTATCTCCTTTTTCCAGAAGAAAAAACCTTATTCAAAACCAGTATAACAGAACAAGTACCCTCCACATTTCAACCCCAAAGTCATCAGCGCCGCTTTAAGCCTATCTAGGCCCAAACTTTCTAACTCAAATGGACTGCTATAGGCAGAGATATCAATTGTGGCCTAAAAATACTTGTATAATAGTAAAGTCGAACAACGTAGTCATAAGAAATAAGAAAGAACCACAAGAATTTACCTGCTGTGGGGTAGTGAGCGGAGGCCAGCCAGGCAACGTTCCTTCAGAAAACATTCGTTTGACTTCCGTATCACTCTTAAAATAGCAAAGAAATATAAAGAAGCAAACTAATTGATGCTAAGGAAAAAAAATGTTCATCAGAAATACTGGAGACACCTTTTGGAAATCTTCTGCAAAGTTGTGAAGGGGACGAGTGCGTTCCATAAAGTATACAAGGTAATCCTGAATGAAAAGCCGAGAGCTATAAGTAATATTAGGCTATGAAAAAAACATTACTAAGAAAAAAAACAATGTCGTACTTTAAATTCCTAAAATTGAAAAGAATCGTAACCATTTCACAACCAAAAACTATTCAGAGATCCTCAAGACCGAGTTTCTATTAACCTCGAAATTGACTGATAATTCACTGTCTCTCTTCGATAAGCAAACATGAAGCTGTAACCTCGTACTCAGGAATTATCGAAAACATGAAAATGGAAATATCAAGTGAAGTAGGTACTCGTAATCTACAATCATCTACACATTATTTATAGGACCCTATAAGAAATTTCGAGGTTGCGCAACTAAAATGACAGTAAAGATATTTGCAAAGCATCGGACCGCATGTGTTTGCGGTGGAAAACGAACTTGATAATACTCTTTCCGGAGGCTAACGCGTTCACCAACATACCAAGCGCATTCTTCGCTTCGGTTTTCTCTCAGCTAGATTTCTATCTACAAGTGCTATCAGCAATCACCCGTGATAGTAATCATCTTCAGGAGTACATAAATGCTCGTAGAATTCAACTCAAGGAAAAAAAAGTTGAAAGTAAAATAGAAACCAAAAGAAAGAGAACTAATTACAAACTTTAAGAGCGTGCAAGTATTCTTTATACGCTCCAGTTTTCTTCGTTGTATTCCTTGGGATTTCTATAAATTTGTCGAACTGTCCGATATATGTAATGTAATCGATTTTCTGAAATTACTAGTATGTTGACAAGCTCAACAAGATAGAAACATCATCATGGACTCACTTTGACTGCTTTCAGATTAAGATACAAAGCATGCAACGCATGCATATCCAAGAACCTGAAAAATACTATTCATTATAAGTAACCGCCGAAAGAAAAGATATCACAAATGTTACTGCTTCTCCTAAACGGAATTCAGATTTAAGGACAATGTTTTGTTTGGAAAAAAAAATTTCCGAGTGCTTTTAAGTTTAGTTTTCCATTTACGAATGTTCTATAGCCACTTTAGGGTGTACATTTTTCTCTTCCCACTTCATTTTCTAGAATGAAAAGCTAACCACTGCCGTCAACTACAAAGACACTTAATAGAGAAGATCCAAATTATGGAAAAATTATTCACAGCACAATTAGACAACGGACTCGTAGTTTGCGTTGAAACTAGCTGTAAGTAAAACAACAATTTCAGACGGCTTCGACTGGATTAAAAGCCAAACAAAAGTCGTGGAGCTGTTACCGCATGAGTTTAGCTAATGGCAAAGCAACCTTTGTTAGGAATCCGTTGTTTTCTATGGAACAAAAAATCAGCCTTTTTAATGCACTTAACTATGCGGTGGAGAAAGGATGTTTGGCAAAAAAATGATTTTCTACTTCGTGGTTGGGGAGCTAGAACAGGCGTCGAAAAAAGTTCCCTGAAGTTACCTTCGAGTGAGAAAGCAACGACATTCATGGGATGATCTTTCATAACTCTTCTTAGTGTAATGGAGCCAATACACGATGAAATCTTTTTATACGACCCGTCTTCACATGTACTGTGCGGATCCCAGCGCTTTTCACATTCGATTCGTGTCCTCGCATCCATTATCCACAAAGATCTTTCAATTTTCACAAGTGGCTTCGACTACTGTTTGACCAGTTTTCATTTCCATCTTAAACGTCGTAGAGTGTTGGTCGAGTCGATTCTCCATAGAGTCCTGAGATAGCCGGACTTTCTAGAGAGCTCCCAGATGAACCGGTGAGAATACTACCCCATCAAGTCCTGTACCAATTTCCCGACCCCAGAGGGATAAGAGGCTTGTTGAGGCGAGATCGAACCAGCGCCGTAGGAGGGAAATATTATCAGGAAGTCAACAAAATCTACTAGGAACTGCATCGCCTACGACTAAGATTAGTCGACCAAGGAATGATTTGTTCGCAGCACAACGCGTGCCACGACTTTTTACTATTGGTGATCCACATTTAAACGAACTTGACAAAACCAAGACTCATCCACCTTACTCATCGCAATTATTACTAAGGCCTTACCACTTCTCAAAATCTATCGAGAAAGGGATCTAACTGGAAACAAAATATTCGCCAATTCAAGAACAATCACAGGCACACATTGCTTTTTAATACGATTTCATCAGATTCAGAATATAACTGTTATACACATACGTTATTAAACTTGAAAGGTTTATGACTGTAGATTGCAGTCTCCCAAGCAAATCCTTTTATGAGTCATAAAGTTGAAATTGAGGAAAATGGCAGCTTTAAACTTGCCATTGCAGTTCGACATTTCAAGCCTAACAACAGTACGTACCTTCCATAGCCTTCCTCATCTGTAAACTGGACCATATCTGTTTCTTCCCGTTCAGGATCCGCTATTTCTTCGTGCATCTTTTGAAACTCCATTGACAGAGGTTCAGCAAGCTTAGTGAATTATATTCATTACAAATCCCAAAATAGTTCAAAAGACTATAAATCTGTAACTGGTGAAGACGGTGAACTGAACAATATCTATTAAGTGGAAATGTCTATACACTAAAAGCACTTGAAAATCACGAAAATATAAACTAAAACGTATAGTGTTTAATTCTTTACCTCATCAGGGTTCCTGCGATGTGCATCTTTCAGAAGCTTCAAACGAGCGTAGAACTCAGCGAACTCATTCGGTCCAGCAATAGCATCCACTTCACGCTTACGAATGCCTTCAGTGTCAGTGTACATACGTTCCAGACTTTCTGTACATGCATGGTATCGCTAAAACAGTCATACATCCAGTCATAGAGTCAAAGAGTTAGGAATATAAAGAAATATTCGAAAAAAAACACCTCGAAACAACAGCAGTTTCTTCAAAAATTAGAAAAAACATGCGTTATGACCATCGCCATCCCAAGTCATAAGAATCTTTTAAAAAGATGAACTATACTTCTATAAGTAGTATATGCTGTCTTTAGAAGGATAAAAGAATAGAGCAATCGGCGATGATCAATCCCTGAGGGATGCTCCATGCATTCGAGATCATTAAGCATCGTTGGTGATTGGACGCATATCTGACCTTAACGACGACTCTCGGTGGCCTACCGATGCATACAACCAGTGCTGCTAAGCGCCCAGACAAGTCTGGTACCAATCTGCCTACCCCAGAAAAATGTGCGGCTTGGTGAGCCTGGGGCGGTGATCGAACCCATGGGTATTGCAGGACGCCTCCAACTATCGCTCTACACGCACCCATTTGTCTTTAGTACCATCTATACAACTTCATAAATCTTACATCTACGAGTTGCTTTACACGTTGTTGCGAATTGATGTTTGCTTTGTGCGTTTTCTTATCGCTCATGATCTCCTTCACTATCGTATCAATGGTGCGTTCGCGTTCCTCATGTAGTTTTCGCTGGTTCTCCAGGATCGAATCCATACCTACAGTAGTCGAATATCATTAAAATAGAAAACAAACGCCATGAAGATGACAACTACCAAGAAGAACTACGCTAAAGAAGTGGCAGACGGATGAACGATTTCGAACAATTTAAAGGATGCAAAAATCTACCGTATTCTCAGCGTCGGTTTAGGTCACTGTAATTTCTGGATTGTACCCCACGAATTGTCCAGTGATTAGATGACGGTTGGCAAAGGATGAGTGGCTCTGTAGGATATGAATGAAAAGCATGAGGTAGGTATCCATTCTTTCTGTCTGTTTTTCCAATATATATGTATCTTTTAAGAAATATAAGCATTGTGCAGGAATCAAAAGTATTCAAAAATTCTCCAAACGCTGTTATTTCATGTAGGAAAATGAACCGCTTTCGAGTTGTTATTGAAGTTTAAAAGTTGTTTTACCTTTCATGATATTGTAAATGTATTGATAAGTGTTGCGTGGAGCGCAGTGGTCGGAGCCTTGCAATACACACGAGTTCGACCCCGCACCAAGGCTCACGAAACCCATCATCCTTCCGTGGTCCGCAAAATGGTACCAGTCCTGTCTGGGAGGATATTAGCACTGGCACGATAGATCGGTAGACCACCGCGAGTCATTGTAAAAGCTATATATGCATTCAGTCACCTCTGTGATGCTACGAATGGAGTCGAATGCGTGGTGCATCCCTCAGGGATTGATGATCAGCTTCGGGAGCTTTATGCTTTATCCTTTTTTATTGGTATCTGTCACGAGGTTATCGTCTCAATTGAGATTTGTACTGCGTGGGAAACTTTTACTGTAAAGTAAGGGGTTTTCGATTAACAAGGTATTCCTTCATTGTTAAGCTTACACGAGGTTGATAAACAACTTTATTCGGCCATTTCGACGTCTTCGTCTTCATCAGAGTCGGTGATTCGAGTCGGTGGTCCACAACTGGAACAACTTCTGGAAAAACGGTGGACTATCGACTTTGACCATCGTCTCTGATGAAGGCGAAGACGAAAATAAGCTTGTAAATGGAGTACATGTTAATTAGTCATTGCAAGGTTAAAAGAAAGTTGGTTTTAAAGTATCTTTTTTTATTCTCTTATTAAACTAGAGTAGGCGGGAAATAAAAAGTTAACATTGTGATTTCGAACACAGCGTCAGCATAACTGGGTTCAATGCCGAATTGGAATCCCCAGATCAATCCCGCTGCCGGGTGATTGCTGATGGCACTGATCGATAGAAAGCTAGTTGAGAGAAAGGGGAAACAAATCACCCGCATAGTGTGGTGGTGAAGGCGTCAGCCCCAGAAAGGGTAATAATGTGTTCGATCCCCATTGCAGACACCTGCGGTCAGGAGTTTTGCAAGTATCTCACCATCATTGTGGTTGTATTTCTCTTTACTTATTTCTGTCATTTCTTGCTTCCTTCCTTTTACTTGTTATCGTTCTTATATGGAACAATCACTACCACTCCGCGTGAAATTTCACCTGTTGTTTCGTTATCACGACGTGGTTTGTAAGCCGATTTGTAAGCGTTTACTTATAGTCGAGCTCGTAGACGATCGATGTCTTCCTCGGAAACGCCGGCCTCATGGGTGAGCTGGTTCTGCAGCAATCGTGGAAACGAATTCTTTTGCGAAGTAATACTTCTCTTATTCCTGGAAAGCTTGTCGACCAGAGTCTCATTGCTCTTAAGGTTCTGCGTAAACACGATTTTACAGATTGACGAAGACTATATTGGAGATAACTTCAATTTAACTGGGCTTAGTGATCATGTGCCTAAGTTTCGCGAAGCGCTTGATAGAATACTTGATTTGGAATCCGGTATGTTCTCAACCTATGCTTCTTCACTTAAATTTATTGATAACAAGCTCAGTTACTCGGAACTAAAGTCATTAAGTGTCCATGCATCCCGTTAACCTGGAGCACACTGTAGTAAACTATTTTGTGACATCATTTAGCAGCAACACCCGCAGTGAATTTCCTTACATACTTTTTATTTTGACAACATATAAGAGAGTCAGCCAATAAGTTGTTCAGATGAATCTGCCGAGGAGTGTGACAGAAATGCCGAAGAGGTGGAACGATTCGCAGAAAAACTTTATGGATTGATACATGCCAGATTCATTCTTTCTAACAGGTAGAATAACACTCTACCTTTCACAAAACTCCACTTAACTTTCTGAAGAACAAATCCGTGTATAGGGGCCTATCCATGATGCTACAGAAATGGCAAGATAGAGACTTTGGAACGTGCCCTCGTGTTTTTTGCTATGATCATCCACTCCTTCCAATTGGTACTAGTGACGTACCTGGTCGAGATACGGTATATAGTTTTAGTAATTCAGAATGAACCTTTAGTCAGTTCACCACTGATTTCCAGGTTAAAATGTTCTGCTCATCCTGCAGTGACATATACCATCCAAAACACGCCCGGCATCAATCCATTGATGGAGCTTACTTCGGCACATCATTTCCGGAAATGTTCCTGATGGTGTATCCAGAATATCGCCGCCCCAAACCTCATCAGTTCGTGCCAAGGTTTGTTTGTTTTTAGTGATAATACAACATAAAGGTGTGGTTACATTAAGGAGTACACCTTTTTTACAGATTATTCGGGTTTAAAATTCGTCCACCACCTCAAGGTTATCCAGTGAATGACCCCGATATAGCGTAACATTGGTTCTACCCATCTTCTTTTTTCTTGTTCATTCAACAGGTCAAAGGTGTTCTGCGTAAGACGTCGCTTGGCACTTCATATTTCGTCTACTTCACACAATTCTAGTTTGCTTATGACACTGTGATTATCAGCATTGTGCATATATTTATTGTATTATATTGCTGTGATTTGGTTCAGGAACGTTGTTCTGCAAAAATGACACAGATAGTAAACTCATAGTACTTGATACTGAATAAATTCAACAACAGATATTTAATTCACTACTCTGTTAAACAGTTACATTACCAAAAGAACCTGTAAATTGCACATGTGACTTAGCGGAACGTCCTAACGGAAATAGTTAAATTGTTGCTGCTGTGTGGGTGCCCAACTGCCCTGCTGACGATTCATGGCGCGCGATGGAGCGAATCCTAGAGCTTTTTGTAGATTCTGTCGAATAGTCATTGTACACAGAATGTACAGGAAGATAAAGGAACAGTCATGCATGTCGTCACCAACCTGCAACATTTATCTTTTGTCCGCTCAGCTATCAATCAGTATTAATAAATACAAAGAATGAAGCTATCGGCGTTGATCAATCCCTGAGAAATGTACCATGCATTCGACTTCATTAAGTATCGTCGGGAGTGATTGAATGCACATCTGGCATTTACAATGACACGCGGTGGCCTACCAATGTATCCAGCCAGTACTGCTCTCCTCCCAGACAGGTCTGGTAACAATTTGTTGACCCCGGTGGAATGGTAGGCGGCTTGGTGAGCCTGGGGCGCGGAGATCGATCCCATATGTACTGCAGGGCTCCTACGACCACAACGCTACACGCGACCTTATCAACCACTATCGTGCTATAAGGAACACTAGCGCTTTGCGCGGGCAAATTTTCCCTCACAAATCAAGCAAGTAATTTGAAATCATCTAAAGCTATATGGTTAACTCAAATATAAAACTCAATTTTGGATGTGTTTATACATTGGCGTAACTGGATACGTTGTCAATAAGCTCTGTATAAGAGGCATTATGTAGAAATGCTCACTAGATTTCTGTGAGAAAGTCCTTGAAGAAAACCAATAGGAACAAAGGGCAGTCGAGCGACCACCCGTCCGTCAAATATCGAGTTAAACGTAGACAAAAGAGCAGTAAACGCAAGACCAATCGCAAACATTGACTTCATTTTGAACATTGACATATCCCTATTTGTTGCCTAAACAGAGTTTTCAATTAAAAAACTGGATAATAATTACAAAAGAACGACCTATGACAGGACCACTCGCTTTTAAGCGTTCTTCGTCCCGTTCCAAACGTTTCTTCGCATTCTTATCAACGGCGTCACCGACTTCCTGCTTCTTCTTCTCTAGCCTCTTAGTTTTGCGCTCCATCTCTGACTTTAAGAAAATGAAATAGTAAAAACTCCATTCCTATAAGAATTATAGTCGATGCACTCACCTTTAACCGTTTATACTGCTCTGATCGGTAAACTAACACATACGTGAGACCTTCGCCTGCGAGAGCGGTACATAGTGCAATAGCAATAATGAGCAAACAGTCGGATAACATCGGTAACGAGAGATTTCTAGGATCCGTAGGCTATCGACGTTTACAAAAACTCTAGAATAAATGAATATAAACTGGACATGTGATACAAAGGGGTTGGTACCCACATACATAACAGATGGATATAGATAGATTTAATTGCCATGGGAGCGAAAAGACGGTACGAGCTAACATCTAAAACATAACAACCTTATCGTCAGAAAACCCAGCAGTAACAAAAACGTAAACAAGACAGATAAAACAAGATGAGGAAGAAACTGAAAGTCTAAAGAAAATGTTCGATATTGATCTCAAGAGCGCAGCACGGTAGCGTCAGACCAAACGCAGTGATCACATCAGGATGCAGAACACCTGAATTAAAAGCTAATGATCCTTGGGCCAAGATATCCTTTCTGATGGAAGACTAGTTCATAACGACAAAAATATTCTTTGATAGAATAACTGTACCTAAAACGCCTAGCACGGAATTTTGCGGACCAACAATTGACGCACATCGACCAGAGAAGAATGTAGGATCTAGATGAGTAGTTCATTAGCAATAAAGCGTTATGTAAATATAACTGCCTTTATGAGAATAAGTATGTTAACTACACAGAGAGAAAAGAAACTAACTATCACAAGCGCGAATATAGTACCCATCTCCATTCTTTGAAGGATTTATGTCCAATAGTCGCATGATACGATCCAGAAATCCGTGAATGATTTCGAAACCAGCCGTTTTGTTGTAGAAGACGGCAGCCAGACGACGTTCATTTCGTGCACCGACGTTTAAAATCAAAACAATATAGTGAAATTTTAGTTTGGAAGTCCTATAGTATTAATAGGAATTCAAATCAGAAGCAATAAAAAAGGATAAAGCTCTCGGTGTTCATCAATCCATGAGAGATGCACCATGCATTGGTCTTCATTAAGCATCGCTTGGAGGTGATTGAATGCATACTTGGCCGTTACAATGACTCGCGGTGGTCTACGGATATACCGAACCAGTGCTGCGATCCTCCCCGACAAGTCTGCTACCAATTTGCCGACCCCGGAGGGATGGAAGGCTTGGTAGGTCAGTGGCGCAGGAGTCAATCCAACGTGTATTGCTGGGAGCCTCTGACCACGTCCCCTAAAAGCAATAAGCCAGATTTCTTAGAAAGATATACAGACCGGATTTGGGATCCTTGATAACAACGTCCTGTAATTCAAACAGTTTAAGAGGAAGCGGCATATCACGATTTGACAGCAGCGTTTTCATCAAACCTGGCAGCAAAGATGATCGAGCTACCTGAAACCCCAGTTTTTTCACTTCTAATACGAAATCGATTAAAGTTATCGAACTCACAAAACAGTATATAGGGAACTACCTGAAATTCTTGGGTTTTAGGGTTTGAAATGTGCACTGCGTTATCGAGTGCTGTCTCATCTCGTAATCGTGTCGAAATATCTTCCCTTGAACACAGAGCGAAACTTAACGCTTCAGTCCAACCAGCAGCTGCAACCTCTCCACGGAGCAAATCCGAAAGTTTGTTAAGCGGAAACGCCTTAGCCACTGTATTCGACTAAAACAAAGAACACAGCAATTTCTCCTAAATCTCACTTTATGTTCAGGTTTTTAAGCCGAAGCAAACCATAAGTTACTTGTACCTCAGGAAGACGACGGACTAATTTGTTAAAGCCATATGCTACGCCTACATCCTCCGCAATATCACATTCATGCAGTATGTCGTGGCGACTTGGTGGAACTGTCACCTTAACTATAAAACAAAATGACATAAAACGTAGGGAAATTTCTTAGGGACACTAGACTACCTTAAGTGTGTTTTCAGTGATAACATCAGCTTCCAACGACATACGGACCAACAACTTTGCCATGGTTTGGGCGTCAAGTTGGAAACCAATTTTTGCATTAATTTCGGAGACCCGCACCATAAGTTCACGACTTTTAAGTGCCTAAGAGTAACAAAATCAAACACATCAATGTTAAACCTAAGGTGTCAGATACAACCGGGACTAAAGTATTGAAAAGATAACCATCGAGAAATTATACTTGCCGGATAAACCTCCTTACGATTATCCTTCTCGTAAACCACTTCTACTGGCTCAACCCTAGAACAAGTTCGTCGGAAAAAAGCAAAAGAACGAGAAAAAAACGAATAGAAGTAATATATATAAGAAATAGAAAGAATTGATGTAACCCACGTGAAAGGTTCACGACAATACTGACTGAACATTACAACAACAGTGTCAAGAACAATAATAGCCTAAAACACGCTTTAAGAGCTAAGGAAGAAGCAATCGAAAAAACACTGGCAAACTTTTTGAAGATCAGTAGCAGTTGTTTCAATGAATACGTTATTGGTGCTAAGTGTGAGTTTTGAATGTTCACCTGAAAGCAAAGTGAAAACATTTTCTGATAACTGAGCAAGTAGGAGAACAAAAATTATAAAGATGCTGAGATATTTGCAAAATTTCAGAGCGCAGATGTCTGCGGTGGGGATCGAGATAGATCGATTACCCTTTGCAGGGCTAACACATTCACCGCTACACCATCCGGGTCCATCTGGACCTTCTGGTGCCGCACGGCTTAGTGGTGAACACGTTAGTCCCCGGAAATGTTAGTAGCGAGTTTGATCCCCACCACAGGCAACGGTGATCCGGAGCTTTGTAAACATCTCAGCATCGTTGTAGCTACATTTCGCATCATACCCTACCATGAAAAAAAAATAGGCAACAAAAAAAACAAAAATCTCAAAAAAGGAATGCTTGCATACCATTTATTATAGGTGGCATGGAACATACAATACCGTTTGCATCGTAAATGACCGGATAACGCTCCTTGTCACGAATAATCGGTAAATAAGGTTTCAAATGACTATCGGCCTACAATAAAGAACTGCTATAAGTTCACTGTTTATGGAAAAAAAGTAAAACGTACCGAATAGAATTCCATCAGTTCGTCAGCAGTGAACTCCTTGGTTTGATTAAGCGGAATGAATCTTATGTTCTTCGGATAATCAGCAGTATACTTGAAAGGACCTAGGAAACAAAGGCCATAAAGATTTCGCAAGTATTTCAAATCTAAAGAGAAATCGATTTGAAAAGATAAAACTCTTTAGGATGACTAAAGATTTCACCAGATATTGTGTCCAGATCGTGTGTTCCGATTGCTACTAAAGTTCGTTTCCGACAAATATTTTGATGAAGTTTGTCCTAAATAAACCTAACCTACCGAACTACATCAGACAAAAACAGCTTGGGGTACAATTTTACCTGTAAGTCAATAAATGACGCATAACTATCTGGATCAAAAGTAATATTACGAAGAATGGCACCAACGACAAAAGGACGTACTGTCTCAGTCTTAAAAAACAACTGGTGATGATAAAAGTAAACGATCGCATAGAAATACAACCACAATGATGTTGAGATGTTCGCAAATTCCGGACCGCAGGTTATGAGGTGAGGATTGGACACGCTATTAAGCTTTCCGGTGACTTGCACGTTCACCACATCATGCGGGTTCTTCGTGATGCTCTTCTCTCAGCTAGTAAAATCGTAGACAAAGTTTAGTTTTTAAATGGACATCAGAGGGGATATCCTTGAATCGAACTATAAACAATGACGAAAATTCCTTATACTTTTGTTGAGCAGACACAAGGTGCCATTCTATTTCTTATTCACGTAAATCTGACATTTTGGCGGATTTCGCCTTCCTCAAAGCTCCGTTACACTGGAATCAATATGACCTTTCCTGGCTCTAAAGAAGCTGAAATCCGCTGAAACGTCAGCTTTTCCGTAATTAAGAAATGAATAAACAACTCGTGTTTGCTCAACAAGAGTATAAAGAATTACTGGGTCAATGCCGAGGTTAATAGAAAGTCGGTCATGCGAATGATGAAAATGTTACCTCTTTTGAAACGATAATTCGTTGGAGAGGACCAGCTGGCGCCTTCAGAACGTAACGTGGAGGTTTCAACCTGTGAAAAAATCTAAAATCACGAAAATATTCTTAACAATATGTTTTCCTCATACAGATGTTCAGTAAATGGAAATGAACTAATGCAGCAATGTAGCTGAGAGTCAGGCGAAACGAAGGAACCGCATGGTGTGTGGTGAACGTATTAGTCCCCTAAAGGTTAGTAGCGCGTTCGTTCCCCTCCACAGACACCCGCGGTCCGTTTTTTTGCAAATATCTCACCATCACTATGGTTGTATAAACTAATGTAGCTTTACGTTGCATACTACTTCGAATACTATTTTTCACCGTCTATGCAGCAACAAGACAAATGATTTTACTTAGTAATTAGAGCAATACAGTTCAATTAATATTCCGTAATATTCTTAAAATAAGATCGGGTAGCACAGTGGTAGTGATTTCGTCTATTACGCGGATTGCATAACCCACCTAAGTGCTGGTTCAACCCGCTCAAAGCCTGCGAAACATGTGATCCCTCTAAAGTTGGAAAACTGGTAACATGTCCGAGAGAAGGTCGCTCCCTCTAATTCACGTAGGAACGGCCACGACTACCTCATGATTCCTGGGAGATTCTATTCGACCGCTATACATCGACATTCATAACGAAGGCGAAAATACTCAACCTACAGTCGAACCCATACGTGGAAAGTTCATAGTCCTTCCTGGACGGTGTATGTAATGAAAGGAATAGAATGCAAGAAGTGCTGGAGTCCGCAGAATATGATATATGTGACATTGTGTAACGCATATCTCGAATATCTAGTGCTTAACAGCACTGATTCAAGGCAAGAAAGAAACCGCACTCGTTTCTAAACACACGTAGAGCTCTTGTGAGTCCTTCTACACAGACAAGGTCGTATCTGTTAGCAGGTACTTCGATTTTATACACTTCAAAGTCGCAAAGCACGTCACCAGCAGCGGCACGTCCACGTTCTTTCTCCAAGGTAGCCTTCTCAGAGGTCTGAAAACCGCCACGCATAATAATAATAACACAATAATATAAGGCTAATTATTTAAAAACTACTTAAAAGAGACTCACGACTTCATCTAGCTCAAGACCATAGTCGAAGCATAGCTCATCGAACTCCTTCTCAGCTGGAACAAACTGGATTGACAAGTAGTAATGATTTCGAAAATGTGAGCCAAAGACGAAAGAAACATACAATAGATCCTTCCCAGATGCTTATCGAGCAATGATTTCCGGATCCCTATGGTGGGCATAACAGAATGTAAATGAGGAAACAGTAACAATCCAAGAAGACAATGTTGGTAACGAATTTGATTGGCGGAAATCCAGAGCGCGCAGTAGAACTCGTCCAAGATATGGGCGGGGCATACATTGGTGAGGCCTAAGAGGTTGTTCATTCATTGTCTGGAAAATGTTAAAATTACTATTTAAAAAAACTGACGAGAATAGGCAGCAAGTAGATCTAGATAAAGTGGTTAGTAATGCAGTTCATCAGGAAGCAAGGTGCTGGTTCGGCCCTACCCCAACGCTCTCCACCAGTCCACCTAGGAACGCCTTCGTCTGATTATCAACAAGATTCCAAGGAGAATCTACTCAACCAACATTCCACGACATTTACAAAGAAGACGAAGTCCTCAACCAGAAGCAGAGGCAACGGTTGGAATGTTCGAAGACCACTATAGACGATGAATGTGAGGGAAAACGAATGTAATGCAAAAAGTGCTAGGATTTGCATAGTAGTGATGATGAGTCATGTAAGGAGAAATCTGACCTCTACAATAGGCTTGGGGGCGTAACGATGTATAAAGTCACTGTTTTTATCCTCCCAGATAAGTCTGGTATCAATTTGCTGAACTTGAAGGTATGGGAAGACAAGTCAGCTAGGAGCTTGGGAGGATAAAACCAACGACCAACCAGTGTTTATTGCAGGAAGCCCCTAACTACTTCTCTACACTTGACCTAATTTGTTCTGTCTATGTTGAAATCCCCAGAAAATATGAGAGCAGAACTGGGGAGAGGAAAATCTGCAGATGCAGTGGTATTGCCATGTATCAGCGTAGTTCATAGAGCTCATACGTTTGCTGGAAGAGATATTCTTGGGTACAGAAGTGTAGTGTGTTTATTATTATTATTATATTATGTTACGTGACACAACATCATACGTTGCATGGAACCCAGCACTTCCTGCATTCGATTCGTTCTTCGCGCTCATATTCCAGGAGGATCTTCGCATTGTGCATGTTGGTTCTGTTGACACATGAGGACTTTGGTCATCATTACTGCTGCGGTCAAGTATTGGTCGAACAGATTGTTTCCAAAATCCTGGTAAAGGGGTGATAAGGTGTTCCCATATAGTGTGTATCTGAACTGTTAAAAGTTTCACACCAAGCTCAATCACCAAAATTAGCTGTATAAATGGAATCCTAACGAAAAACAGATCTAGTGAATTAGTAGTTTTGTAAATTCTGCAAAGATGTGAGTTCAAAGTTTCAAGCTTACAATCCACACAGATCGACAAACCCGACTGGCGGCTATCTTAAGCTATACCTTCGAGTAAATTTTGGAAGCTCCAGTAAGATTCTGCCCCAAGAAACCAATAATGTACTATTCCTAGCATAGGCGATGAGTGGTGAGACACCATCAATCCTCGCGTCTTGATAGATATCATCTGTACATAGGCAAGAAGCTTTCTTCGCAGGAAATCGCTTCTGCAATCTTAGAAAAAGTGAAATGAAATATTTCCTTCAGATTGGAGTCCAATGGCGATTTGTGCTTCCCAGGTCATTCCCGTTGATGGATGATTGGTGATGGCACCGGTAGGAAAAAACTAGCTGAGGGAAAGGCAGAGCAAACGCTTCAATGGTGCACTAGGTAACATGTGAGCTCCCAGGAACGGTAATGGTGGGCTCGAAGCTCACCTGGGATTAGGAGTTTTGATCATATCGCGGCATTATTGTGGTTGTATTTCACATAGCCTCCTGCCATAAAAAATATGCAATAAATAAAAGTTAAATATTGTTATGCCTAATAGAAGCACTTTACAAATCGACTCTTTTTTAACCTCGGTATAATTATCAGCATGTTTGTTTTTCACTAGTAAACTAACAAGGTTGCGTGCAGCACAGTGGTTAGAGGTGCCCTGCAATGCACATGGGTTCCATCCCGCGCCCCAGGCCTACCAAGCCTGCCCTATTCCGGGTCGGTAAATTGGTAACAGACCTGTCTGGGAAGATAGAAGCACTGATTCGATACATCGGCGAGTTACCACAAATTATTTTAAAGGCTAGACATGCATTTAATCAACTCGATCAATCACTACAGTGCTTGAAATCGAATGCATGGATCATCCCTCAGAAACTGATCAATGCCGAAGGCTTCAAAGTTTATCTTTTATGGTCACACGACTGGCTTTGCCCTAATGGGGTAGTTAAAGAACTCGTGACATGCAAATATCCTTCTCGGTTCGATCTCAGGCTTCGCGAAAACCAATTTCTCCCATTCCAGCCGATACCGTAAACCACTACCAATCTCTATTCCTTAGGGCTAATGCGCGTTTTCCGCAATGCTACACTACTTTCATTTGTTTGGTTGTGCTGTATCCGTCATGCATGGAGTTCGTCAGGCCTATAGGTTTCTTGTGTTAATTGATTCGATTATGGTTTCTGTAATTTCTCTAAAATAGTAACAAGTTGATCAGAAAAGTTTATTTTTCTAATCCATAGCAACGGGCACTGGTACTGCAGTTATATAGGTGCCGTTTAATATGAGCAAGGCCATCTATCGAACCTGGACCAAATTAAGGAACACTTCCTCCACTTCGGGATCACCAAATCGTTACCAGATTTACTTGGGAAGAGTTCTCCACGATCCACAAAGGCTGCCGATTCCCCTTGTTGAAGACCTGGTATCGTGAATTGGCTATCTCAGGATTTCAGTGGAATCCACTCAAGCAGCATTCAACAACAAGCATAAAGAAGAGCAAGATCCTCGAGCAGCAGCCAAATCGGATCACTAATTCGAAGACCTTCGTCGATAATGGGTGCAAAGAAACGGATCGAGTGGCAGAAGTGGTGGGGATCACTGCAGTATCTTATATCTAGCCATGCAAATTAAGATAACGAAACAAAACTAAAGCCAAAGCAAACGCATGATTTCTAAAAATGCGGATTTTTCCACGTTTTTCACTTGTTCTTTCTTTTCGCGATTATCGTCGAACTTCAAGATTCATGGAACGAAGTCCTAATGCCATCATAAATTCCTATTTGCTTACTTCTTCATCCCCTTTTTAGAAGGCTACGATTATCTACGGCATCAATGGAGAACCGATATTCACCTAAAATCGTGATAATGCTGTCGAAACCGTGAGCTCAGAAATGACAACGATCGTTTCCATGCTTTGAAAGCTTCCACGTTCACAGTTCTGGATAGTGATAATTGGGCGATTAATCACATGTTAGTAAGACTTGGTAGATAATTTTATTGGTTACACTGCGGTCTGAAATTGCATTCCAATGAGATCGCAAGATTCATATAGGATTTTTCGCATTCTGTCAAAATATTCTTCTTCCGATCTAATTATAATACGATTAGCGATAGGCAGAAATCATGTCAGCATAGCTACATCGCTGTCAATGATATCAATATCTGCTCAAATACTGGTTTAAGCCACGACAGATCAAGTCTCAGCTTTATTCAATGACCAGTTGGGCGAGTTTCATAGGCATCAGAAGCTGCTTTCATCTTCACCAACATCTCACGATATCTCCTTCCGTCAATCTTTGACCATTCAGAATGTTTTGCCTAACTTCTTTAACTTAATTTCTATCAGACATTTTCGTAAATGCACACCAAGTTATTGCTTATCGCTGTTGTTATCGCTTTGTCGCTCAGCAATCACGAGCCATCAATCATATGCGACTATAATCAGCTGCTCTCCTCTTCCTCAGTAGAGGACGCGTTAAAAAAAACGGCTCTGAAGAAGGCGATGTTGCCGAAACGTCAGCTACTGTTGTATTCTGTGCTTTGTATGGAAGTAAATATATGCTGTATAACAACCTCACGATTGTTGAACAAGCAAACGACGCATTTATAATGGCGAGGTTAATAGAGAGTCGATCCTAGGAACTATTTCATCATCACAAAGTTACTCGGATTTTTATGCATGTTGGGTGAAACCTGAAGATTTCGTCTTTTTCATAAATGTTGACTACTGGATGACTTGACTCTCTTGCTGATCCTGTGATACCGGTAATAATGCAGCTTTACCAAGACTACCTTGCATGTCCCAGGGGAATTGAGGACCTTCCTGGCTGTGGGCGCGTTCAAACCAGCGACCGTGCAAGCATTAATGCACAGCGCATCTAAATACTTCACTTCTAGTACGTCATTGATATTACTGATAGTTCTTACACACGATTGGTCTTGGCTGGGACTATTCAGTAGAAAAGTCACAGAATTCGACTTGACTAGATAGGGTAACACGAAGTTGATAGAAAAATCTATCTAGAAAAGGTTTTGGCTCCTTCTCCTTCCTCACAACCGGTTTGATCTGGGTCTAAATCTGTAAGGAAAAGTATTTATTTGTATGATCTTGTTTGTAAACTGATTTCTCTGAGTCGACGTGAGGTTGGTGTAGGTCTTCGTTGTCGTTGCTGTTGGTGTTGTTGGTCGATGGCTGACGTTTAGGCGATTTCGCCTTCCTCGGAGCCGTGTTGTTACGAACGAGACTCGTAAGGAGAAATTCGCCGAAATGGCAGCGCTTTTCTTAATAAAGGGTATAGTAAGACCGTCCGGTCTGTTTACCAAAAAACCGCGAATCATTGATAATTTTTATTCGAGCGTGATAGTTTTGAAGTATTCCAAGATTTTCGATTGGTCATTCAATGGCTGCAATTGATGAATTTGAGATTACAATGTCCAACTTTTATTTGCTGCCTATTCCTTTTTTCCAGTGGCAGAGTACGATGTGAAATACGATCACAAGAATGCTGAGATATGAGCAAAACTCGGAACCTTAGCTGGGCTCCGAACCCGTGATTATTCTGATCTTCCTGGGGCCTAACGTGCATCCACCGCACCAACCGAGACTCTTTTCGAGTTTGAGATTTTTGATATGTAGTCTGCTTATTCTCTCTGTTTCTTTCCAATCTATAAAACTGTTCCGTCCTCAAAAAGGCTGATATACAACAAAGGAAACACTTTCAGTGATTTTCGACGGAGCAGTGAATGATCGTACTAGTCTGTTTGTTAGTGTTAATAAGAAATATGGTAGATGGTCAACTAAATGAAGGATCAGCAGGTACCAGGTGTCTTCTAAATTCCATCACATCATTTTTTCTACGGCTAGTTCAAAAACTCCTCCCAACGGTTCCCCGCCTCATCGTGGTTGGGAGGGTTCCTGGGTGTTGGGCTGCGATGTACAGCGGTGGGCAGTGTCTGCCAAGCTGAGAAGGAGGCCGGCGTTTCCATCAGGAAGCCTAGCTAAGAGTAAACCAATACCAAGGATCCATCACCGTCCTCGTATCAAAGTCGCATGATGGTAAATTTCCCTCTGATCCACAAGAACTGTGACTGCCTGTGGTGATGAAGACCCGGTACAGACTTTGGCCTGGCTGACCTCTGGACTCTAGGGAACTATAATGGCTTAATCAGCAAATCTCCGAGAAATGGAGATTATACTGGGGTCCGCTCAACTAGTGAGGACGGGTCATTCAAGTATCAAGTGTCAAGCAACTTATTATGGTTTGTTTTACGTTTTGTTAAAGATATAGTCTACGGTGGGAAAAATTGCATGTTACAACATAAGGGCCAACTTGTAACGAAGTCATATTTTAAGTCACATCCTTTGTTAACCTAAAGAATAAAAAATGATACAGTAACAGATTTTCACTACAATAAAAAAATGCGATTCAGTGCTTCTTCTTAGAGTGAAAAAAGCACCCACTGATAAAACCTATGTGAAATTTTGAGAGAACTGGCTAACACGAAGATTAACTTACTTCATTCAGACATCGCGTTCAAAAAACAAGTCAGGCAAGAATTTTTGATCTTCCAAAATTCGCACCAACTGCAAGAATCATTAGACTATCGTCTATCATAAGGCAAGAAAAACATAAGAAAGGCCGTGGAGAAGCAGCTGACGACTCTTTGCTTAGGGACGCGGTACGTGGGAATTTTGTTGGCCTATCGAGTACGGTATCGAAAGCTACAGTGACTTTATGGAAAACCTACGAAAAATATCAATATTAACGTCGTTAATATTTATAGAAAGAGTAGTTTTATCTCAAGAGATTAGTTGAAACTTCGCTGTTTTACTTTATTTGTTGTTCGATACCGATGTAAGAACATCATACTCATTCGTCTGCTCATTTGTTGTGTTCACTACATAATTTTTCATCTGCCCCTGAATGTTCCCCAACCCTTAGCCAGTGGTTGTCTTATGAGTGTGTTAGGTTGGATAGAAACCCTGTAGAACTAGGAAAACCGTTCTTATTCGAAAAAAAAGCAGCAGTTTACCAATTTCGGTTCGTGTTAGGATTTTTTAAAAACGGCAGGACTGCAAAAACTGAGTGATAGAAAAAACAAGGAACAAAAGGAGTCTAGCGACAGTGAAATCGTTGTAATAATCAGGTTTAAAAAATTACAAAACTCTTTTGGACCAAAAAGAATTGTTGAACCAGTAGTTTATATATCCTAAAAAATTAAGCTAAACTACACAAAAGAAAAAATTACAGATTTGTGACAATGGAGAGTGGCATTTCAACTAAGTCATTTGTTGTACCTATTACGATCCTATTTACGGGGTAGGACGAATACGGAGATGCTGCTAAAATCTCAGGGTCAATGGAAATCAAACTATGACGATGAAGAACTCGAAGCCTGGATTACAAATAATTAAAGTGACGATTTGTACCTACAATGCACGTATACTTGCATCCGAGTGCTCGATAGAAGACTTGCTCACGCAAGCAAGAAGGATAAGGTACGTCGTCATCGGCCTGGGACGGCTCGGGCGTTTATGATTAAAAAGATGTGAATCAACACCGGCCTTGACAACATTTGCCGTTTGCGTGCGGAAATCAAACTATGACGATGAAGAACTCGAAGCGTTCTATATGGACTCGAAGAAGTTCTACAGAAAAGATCACACGTTTTTCAAGGTCATCATTGGAGATTTTAACGCCAAGATTAGACCAAGAAGAACGTCTGAAGAACGTCACATTGGGACCCACGGATTAGAATGGGACGAACAGTGTGAGCTGCTGTCTGAGCTTATCATGGCCACCAAGACCATCCATGGTAACTCGAAATTCCAGAAGCCCCACACTCAACGCTGGACGTCGGAGTCTCCCAATAGAGAGTACCATAGCGAAATAGACCACATCATGGTAAATTGGGTTTTGCCTAACCGATGTCGCTGCGGTTCCAAAATTCTACACGGGATCAGAGCGTCGCCTCCTTCGTGCAAGATTATATTTTTTGCGAAAAGGAGAAAAAACGGCTAAATTGATTCAAAAACAGAGGCCCTAGAACCACCATAAACTGCGACTTATTCAAGTCATTAGTTGGCTGTTGGGAAGATTCCGTTGTCGATAACGTCGACGAAAAATATGATCGCCTCATTCAACATTTTCACGTGAGTGCTATGAAAGCTGAGAACTCGGAAGTCATCAAGAAAGCTCTGTCTCCAGATACTCTCGAGCTGATACGCCCTCGTAGAATCGCCCGACCTGCATGCAACCGCGAACTAACGCCAGAACCTGGAAAACTATGCAGACAGGTGATAAAAGATCTTAAAAAGAAAAGAGCAGCAGTAATGGTCGAAACTGCAGAGGCTGGGAAAAGCATTCGCAAAGCCCACCGAAGCTACGCCAATTAGAAGACCAAGAGGATTGCACTCCGACGCTCAGACAGAACAGTTACAGTGTCCAGAAAGGTAATGGAGAAAAACATTCACGAATACTACTCAGACCTCTTCGATAGCCAAGTCCACCTTGCGTCATACGAAAAAAAGGAGGATGGATATGTTGGACCACTGGATCTCCTTTCCGAAATCCGACATGCCATTTCGTTGGTGAGCAATCCAAGAGCACCAGGTCCGGACAAGACAAGATCAGAGCACCTGAAGAACTTTCCGCCAGTCCACGTAAACACACTGGCTCGGCTCTTCACACGTTCCCTGTCTGAACTCAAGTTTCCTAGTCAGTGGAAGATCAGCAAAACCGTGTTAATGTTCAAGAACGGTGACCTCCACGATATCGGCAAGCACTGCCCAATCTGCTTGCTGTCTGCCGTCTACAAACTTTTCACTCGAGTCATCCTAAACAGGATTGACAGAACACTGAACGAAGGAAAGCCTCGTGAGCAGGCAGTTTCGAAAAGGATTTAGTGCGATGAACCACATTCATACGACAACAAGAGTCATTGAAGTATCGTGAGAGTACAAAAGACCGCTCAGTCTCACTTTCATCGATTCGAAGAAGGCTTTCGACTCAATTGAGATAGAAGCAGTCATGGAAGCGCTTGATAGACAGGGAGTCCCTATTCCGTACATAAGGATTCTTCGCGAGTTTCACAAGAATTTCACAACAAAGCCATTCTACAACGACATTTACATCGACGTCAAAAGAGCGGTCAGGCAAGGCGATACCATCTCTCCAAAATTATTTACTGCCGCTCTCGAAAACTTCATGCGAACAACGGAATGGGATAATATGGGAGCGAAAATCGATGGTTAGCAGTTACATCATCTTCGGTTTGCTGATGACATCGTCCTTATAACACGAAACATTAGCCAAGAGGAACGTATGTTTGCCGACTTTGATAGAGCCTATGGAAAGATTGGTCTTCGACTAAATCTTACAGAAACGATGTTCATGGAGAACGGAATAGTTTCCTATGCGCCATTCACGCTCAGCGGAACGAATGTCTCCGAATGGTCCAGTTATGTCTATCTAGGTTGGGAGATCAATATAATGAAGGACTTAGCTTCGGAGCTGAGCAGAAGGGAGTAAGCGGCTTGGGGAGCTTTCAAGAGCATCGAGGATGTAGTGAAGAGAACAAAGAGGACACGACTCCGTGCCCACGTTTCCAACTCAGTGGTACTTGCTGCCCTAACGTATGCGTCAAAAACCTTTTCGATGCTTAAGCAGGATGAAAAATCACCCAGCGTTATCGAACGCGCAGTGGGAAGGACGATGCTAGGAGCACCCTCTTTCACACAATTAAGGGAAGGGATGCGAAGCTCCGATCTGCGTCAACCGTTGGACAGGACCTGTTAGTGACTGGATTCCTTGGGGTGTCAAACGAACTGCAGGAAGACCACCGACCCGATGGCAAGAGTTTTTCCCGAAAGCCTAGAAGAAAGATATGATGCTCGACAAGTCCCTAGAGCGAGCTAAACCCACTCGGCTACTCTTGCACACGACAGGGAAAAGTGGATAATTTACTCTCACCCGCTGAGGCCACTCGGCGATCAACGGGACTACATGTGCTACAGGTGACTATTATCCTATAGTAGTGCATGGCACATTAGTAATGATGCCAATCATCATGAGCACGGTTTTGGTTCCATTTCATTTCGCGCTCACCAAAAGGCTTCTATTTCTTCGAGGTCGGAGAATTGGTACTTATCTTCTCCGGAAAAAATCGCTATCTGCAATCCATATGGGATTGCTTTAGTTCTGTTATCCCAGGACTCCAGGATGCTTCGACACCAATAGCATTCTATGTCATTCATAATGAAATCAAAATCCTTAAGCAGCAGCCGAAGACACACGTAAAAGTGGGAAGACCTTTGCGCATGATGGATGCAACGAAGCGAGTCGAGTGTGAGAATTGCTGGTATCCTCACAGTAGATATGAAAGACTGGTTGTATAAAATAAGAAAAATTATTGTTTTTTGACTACTTTTATATTCGTCATGTGATAGCTCAGAAGTAATAAAACCTTTAAATTCATCGGCGTTGATCAATCCCTTAGAAAGTAGGTATGCAATCGCCTCCACTCTTAGTATTATGGCAATGAGTGGATTAATATCTGGCGTATGCGACGACTTGCGGTGGCGTCCCGATGCATCACTCGGTAGTGCTATCCTTCCAAGTAAGTTTGGTAAAGATTTGCCGACCTCGGAGGGTTGAAAGACTTATTGTATTAGAGGCGCAGAATCGAACAATGACTATGTGTCATCCCTAGGGCACTCCTAAGCACTGCGTTACATGCGCACCCTCGACCAAGAACTATACATTGAGCAAAGTCAATCGAACAAACGATCAATTTATTTGCTTCATTATAAACATGCTAACTCATTTTAGTCGACTAATTTTTATTTTAACTTGATTATAGTTTGCGGATGGAAAATATTACTCAAATTTCTCGTGTCTTGCTAATTAAAAGAGTCTGATTAGTTTTTTACAGGTTGATGGGGCCTACTGTTTTATTTGACATGCACTCATATTTCAGGCCGGTTCTTTCGACAATTTTGATGCGTTCGATTTGGAAGAGCTAGAGGCGTCATCCGATGAGACAATGGCATCTAGGAAGAAGGCCGCCGAACAACCACCGAGTAATGAAGAAAACGTTGGCGAATTCTTCCCGGAATCCTCTTAAACACCTGCTTGAATACTGAAATGCAATAAACTGTCCTTAAAGTAACATATTGTATGAACTTTTAACAAAAAAAAAAGACAGAAAAATTTTAGCGCTCAAAAAAGTTAACTGCTCCTGCTTAGAACCTGGGTGAGAATTTATTTTGTATTCCAAATTGTCACAAGAGTGCAATGACTGGCGAGGATTTCTCCATGGGTTTAGGAAATGGATTGAATCGCAGTTGAAGAATCTGAGAAAACCAATGCGAGCTCTTTCTATACATGAAAAAAGTGGAGAATATGATAACAACTATTCAACTAGCACAGAAATTGATTTAGTTTTGAAGCTCTTGTAAGCGAAGGAAAATTGAGAGGAAAATTTTGTTTGTTTGTTACTTCCCCGATTTCACTTCGGATCTTTGACATGACATTTTTAAAGATTTTAAACAGTCATCAACTCATTTCTCCCAAATGGGGATTACATCGCTTAACAGGTCCTATCAGGCTCAGAAGGAGTCCGACGTTTTCGTCCGAAAACGCAGTTAAGTGTAAGTTAGTACAGAAACCAGTAGACGGATAGCAAGGTAGCAGTGATGCCCGTCACCACGAGCATGGTGTTAGCTGGTGTTAGTTCGATTCCACTCCGAGACGACCAAGCCTCTTATCCCTTCGAGATCAGGGTACGGGACTACGGGACTGACGGGTACTGATACGGGACTTATCTGGAAAAAAATCGCTCTCTGCAATCTAATTGAGAACGCTTTAGCCCGGCTATCTCAGGATCCCAGAGGGAATTGCTCCACCAACATCCCACGAAATTGAAGATGAAATGAAAATCTTCAAGCAGTAACTGAAGCCACACGTAAAGCTGAAAGATATTCGTAGACAATGGATGCGAGAAAATGAATCGAATGTGAGAAGTGGTGGGATCCGCACAGTAGACGTGAAGATGGGTCATATAAAAAAAATAGCTCAAGCAAAAAGTCTGATATATACGAAATTTCAAAGGTGTTGGCTTTGTCGTACACCCACCTATTTCCCATTTAGTCACCTTGCACAAAACCCTATCACCACACTTGTCCTTTCTTTGTCTCCGACTTGCGTGTCAGAAGTGAATCAGTGCAATCAACTGCTACTAACCAACTTCTAAAGTTGACGAGAGCGAGCTGGACACATTCTATAATCTGTTAAAGAAAGGAATCCACAATGCGGAGTACTTTTAAAAATTCGCTGCTGGTGACTTCAACGCCAAATTAGGAACGGCCAACGGAAATGAATACAGGATAGACAAATTCTGAATAAGAGAACGAGGTGAGAGTGGAAAGCGTTTTGAAGACCTCTAGCCGCAGCATGTCTCTTCCTTGAAAATTCATTTTTCAGGAAGAGAGACGATCTCTGATGACATGGGAAACTTCTTAGGCTCAAATTAGGCACAACTCATTGGGAGATCGATCACATTCTCATGAACAGAAAGCGGTGCCTTTTTGACCCATCAGTGGTACATGGATTCTGTGCTGGATCTGATCACGGCCTTCTACACGAGACGATTTGATTGAGCCATAAGCTAGAAAAAAACTTTTACTATCATTCAGAAAGACGAAGCAAGTTATGCATGACAATGATATTCTCAATCTCTTCTCCTTATATGACTGGCAGATAAATGAAGATGCGATCGACGACTGCCCGCTGCTTGTCGAAGGACTTACGAAGTGCCGAACTCGCCTCAGTTTCTCAAAGTAGGAGTTCATATCGGATTTCCACCACTACCACCTACCACTTAAGAGTTGCTCGAAATGAGAAGAAAACTGAACTTTGATTCACTATAACACCCCTAACACGGCTGATAATAAATGACGCCTGTAGAAGATCTTTCAAGGAGGATTTACATCAGCATAGGGAAAAGAATTACTGGAAGCAGCTCAAAAACGATCCAGTTTGAGAAAATGCCATCGGGATCTTTGCGACTATGATATCACCCTTCTCCCGACGAACGAAGATGGCGCTATGAATACATCCGCCACGATATGGAATTGATAAAGGTCCTCGTCTTGGACCTCGAAATCCCCGGTGGTGAAAAGCTGGCGAGGATTCTATCCTTTCAAGTTCTAGTTCCCATTGAAAGCATGGAGAGAGGCACAGCTCCAGGACCCAACAATACTACCGTTGGTTGGTGGTCACAAATTTTATGTACTTCTTTCAACCTACTTACAATTTTAATTTCAAAAAGAGGAAATCGCAGACCAGTGGAGGAGCTTGCTCACGGTTGTCATGCCCAAGGAGGGTGACCGTAGAGATGTTCGTAACTACCGTCCAATATGATTGCTGAGTGTACTCTACACACTGTCCACAAAGACTGTTCTTTTGCGCATGTCGAATACCTTTGCTGAGGCACAACCAGTTGAGCGAGAATTCTAGGAATCCAACAGAGATTCTGCTGCTTGGACTATGACCGTGTCAGTCCGTCGTAAAAGTTGATCGTGACTACCATATCCCAAGTGCCCTAACTTTTACAGATTGCCAGAATGTGTTAGCAGCGTCTAAGATAATGTAATTCTATTAGCTTCCGTCGACCAAGAGTGGCCCTGTCCTATATATGAAAGCTAGCAGACTGTTATCAAAACTGCTGCACAAATATGCACCATTTTCACCGATCCCTCACCATAGCAAAAGGGGTTCGACAAGGTCACACAATATCGCTAAAGCTGCTTCCTGCCGCACAGTGGATAATGAAGTCGCTCGGTTAGGACGAGAAGAACGTAAGCATTGATGGAGGTCAAATTTTCTTCGTTTCGCTGACGACATCGTTATCTTTTCGAAGGTTAGCAGTGAACCAGAGACGATGCTCAATTAACTCAACGAAGTATGAAAAAAGATTGTACCGTGCATAAATAGGACTAAGACCCAACTAGCGAAGAATCTATGGTTCGAAAGATAAACAAATCGAATGTGTAGCTCTCTAATTGGAGAGATCGTATGAACGTGAAGGAGGAATTAGACTGAAGGATAGCAACATTGGCCGAAGTCGGTCCACTAAAAAAAGCCACCGACCAACTAACGGACCCAAAACTCCGAGCTCACTTTTCCGATTCAACAGCCATCCCAGCGCTCTGTTATGCAACAGAGATGTGGGCTGATGTCATAACCACGTCAACAATGCTGAGCGCCACCTATACAGCGCTTGGACGATGTCGTTTGAAATTTAACCAACACCCACAGTGCCTAGTCGAAATTCGTAGTCGAGACCTTCGAAACCTCTCCCATCTTCGGAACCCAGCGGAAAACACATCAACAGCAAAAAACACGTGGGCGGATCAAACAATGAGAAGTACAGACAACAGATGGATGAAAAGAGTCGTTGAGTGGACTCGAGGAGAAAGCAAGCGCTGTTCCTGAATACAATCCAAACGACTGGCGAACGTGGTTTTGGGTAACGGCAACCAATTGCATTCGCAGATGGTAACGATTTCAGGATGGCGGAATGGGCCTTGTGGACGTGACCATATTTGAAGCTGACCACTACCAAAAACGACGACTGCGCAGAAGAGAAACGATTGTAAGTTACGCTGACGTTCGCAAACCAGTGAAGTGGGCCATCCAAGTATCCAAGTAAGTATAAACTCACTCGAAATTCTAAGATCTATTTATGACTGCAGACAATAGTCTCCAGCGAATGGATTCTACCATGGTTGGAGGCGTAAAACTCCCAGTTACATGTTTAGCTTGCTTTACAAAAATCTTAAAAAATATTAAAGCTTTCGAAAAGCTACACCGAGCAAAAGCCACTATTACCGTACCACACGATAGAAACGAATGAAGACTTTGTTGGCGTCCACTAGAGTCAGTCAACTATCACCAGAGGGTGCCAAAAGATAATTTTAGAAGCAAGATGTTTCGAAGTCTGTGGGAAGCGCGCTTTTTAGTGACTTCTTATTTTGAGAAAGGTGACTGTGATGTTGTCTGACCCAAAACATGTTCATGGTTTTCACCATGGATTGACTTCAGAAGGAAAATCGGTTGTGTTTGGTATAAGAGTTGCGGGTAAGACGCTAAATACTAAAGCATAATTTTCTGTTACAAATCTCATTCCATATTAGAAAGTGTTAAAAATTAAGTACTTAGAAAATAGTGCTCATAGAACACCCTTTTCATAAAGGTCCCGACACCGCGAATTGGTACGTATTTGACTTGTCACAGCTGGTTTCTTCCTGCATCTCTTTAATCCACTTTTCTGCAATTGACGTTCATTACCAACCTTTTGAGCAACATTTTTCGGGGTATCGAAGTGAGTTCGAGTTTCACACCATTAGATGCCCGGATATGGTGATCGAATTCCGCCATGAAGTTATCTGATTGGCCTGACATAGGTGCACGACCACGTTGACAACCACCCTTGTACACGTTGGTATTCCTCTTTATTGATCTAATTCAAAAATCGTATTACGTCGGAAGTCTTTTTGAGATCTGGAAAATAGATGCAAGTATGTATTCTTTCTTGATAAGCTTACACGAGGTTGATAAGTATATTTATTTTCGGCTAACGCTTCGACGTCTTCGTCTTCCTCAGAGCCGGTGATCCGAGTCGATGGTCCATGCTTGTTGTTCGCCTCGACGTTGCGTCTTCGCCTTCGTGTCGAGCCAGATCTTCCTCAGTGAGCCATCTTCTCGAATGAGGCATCCTCACTCAGTGATGCCCTTTTATACACGATGCTGATGGTGGATATATAATGACAATGTCCGGTGGTAACAACTTGTATTTCTTCCGGACATACATCACTGCGCACATCGTGCAGAGGTCGGTGTATTATCAGCTAGCACAAAGCGTAGTAATATTTCGAAACCGACCTTCCCTAAACCTCGGTGTGATTAGTCAATATGTATTCTTTCCTGATAAGCTTACACGAGGTTGATAAATATATTTATTTTCGGCTAACGCTTCGACGTCTTCGTCTTCCTCAGAGCCGGTGATCCGAGTCGATGGTCCATGCTTGTTGTTCGTCTCGACGTTGCGTCTTCGCCTTCGTG